AACTACATTATATGTATATTCATATTCCTCTTATTATAATCTTTCATTTGACGTATTGGCTACTATTATACTATTTACTATTAAGTTCAGAAAGGGATTTGTGGAGATTTCAGTATTTCTCAAAGTTAAAACCATGAGTCAATCGAAGCTAGACCACCATCGAAAACCTGGAAGCACTGGACGACCGTTTCGTCCTATTATGGAACTCCTCGGCAGTGCGCATCCGCGATCCCGCACTCGCGAGATTCGAACCCAGGACTTACCTGTCTCGAGCCAGAGCCCTTAACCGATAGGCCACTGAGCCGGCACCCAATGGTCTATCGGTTAAGGGCTGTGGCACGAGACTGGTAGGTCCTGGGTTTAAATCTCGCGAGGCGGGATCGTGGATGCGCACTGCTGAGGAGTTCCATAATAGGACGAAACGGTCGTCCAGTGCTTCCAGGTTTTCGATGGTGGTCTAGCTTCAATTGACTCATGATTTCAACTTTGAAAAATATTATTAAGTTATTCCCAATTTGTTAATAACAGTATCTCACAATCACAGCCACTTTTTTTAGCCTGATCTTGCATGACTGTTATTTTCTATTCTACGGTATGATGTGGTTTGATTTGCTTGTATATAAACCTAGTATATCTGAAATATATGATTCGTATCGCTTAAGGTTGACATTGGCGTTCTGAACTGAACTGACTGGGTTAAGAGAGAAGCTACTATTTCAGAGGATCAATGAGAACTCTAGGTTGCTCGTACAGGTTTATACTTCATTAGTCTGGTAGTATAAGTCAGTGTCTATAATTGGCGGTCTTATTACATGATATAATTAATCGGACATCAGGACATAACATAATCCAATGATACATTATCTACTTGTTCAAAATGACCTAAAACAATGTTCAAATCTTCAGCTTTGGTGTAATAATTACCAATTTAAGGTTGTTTGAGTAAATTCTTCATTTAAATAGAATATCGTGACTATCGTAACTAATGGTTGCAGACTCTGAGTGATATGGCTCAGAATCGATCACAATGACGTAGGTATCTTCCCTTAAACTATGACATTTAAATGGCTTCATATGTTTCTTTCTTCATGTACTATATCCTTATATACAATCTTTCTTTTATATATTATCACCATAGAATCAACTACTTCTATGAATTCGGTGTTGATCTTGTTGTGCTAATAAGGTGTGTCGACTTGGACCGATGCATATATGGGCCTGGTCCTACGTTGTAGCTGATTGACTGACTGATTGATCAAAAACATTATTATTTCTAGGTGACACATGAACATCAAGCTTCGAAATATTATGTTAAAATTTATTTTAAATTGTTTGTAAGGAATATTAGGAAAATTACTTACTTAAATACGTCTGTTACTCCCAATGGAGCATAGGCAGGCGAACAGCATTCTCTATCCCACTCTGTCCTGGGTCTTAGCATTAAACTATTTACTCAAAACATTAATGAATGAACATTCATTTTGATGGTTCCCAATTCAATAGGATGTACACTTCATCCACTAAAAACTATATTACTATCAATTAGACAATGATTTATAATTTACAAAAGTAACTTTTAAAATATATTTATAAGCAAAAATGGATGATGACTAGCAGTGGAATCCACGATACGTTTTTCGTCCTATTTGAAATTTGTCAGGTGGATTTACCTGCATCACAGGGCTGATGTTCACTCTGTGACTCAAAACCAGTAATAATCGCTTCAAACAACGTCACGTTATCCACTTACCTACCGAGTACTGATAGTCACCCCCATTTGCAGCGGACGGTACTGGGTTCGAGTCTCAAAGTGAACAACAGCTCAGATACAGGTACATCCTGCTCATGAGTATCAAAACAGGACGGAAAGTGCGTTCTGGACTCCATTGTTATCCATCATCTATCTCTGCTTATAATGCTTGTGACTTCAGGCAATCTCGAGGCAATTATTTTTGATTGTGATAAATAGTTCATAATTTCAAATAAACACTTAACATTAAATTTTAAACCGTTTCATTAATTTATGTCAATCAACAAATCCGATTAGGTGGATATTGAGACTGGATTCATTTAGTTGAGTGATTCATTCAGTAACTCATAGTTAATTATAGTTTCTCGAACTTATTTAAATGGTGTCAATTTAGACAAACTACCGTCACACTGAGTAATTGAACATAGTCAATCTTAAGTAAAAAGTTATAATGAAGTTCTGTTTTTTTTTCATCTTGAACGAATACTAGATACGATTAAATTTAATTTTTTCTTAGTTGAATTCATGAGTCGATCTAAGCTAGACTGCCATTGAAAATCTGGAAGCACTGAACGGTTATCATGTCTTAGTATGGGACTCCTCATTAGTGCTAATCCGCAATCTCGAATGTGGAACTCGGACTCTGGAATTTCGGATTAGAGCGATCGCTTAACCTTCAAACGAGTAAATCAATATCCAATGGTGTTAATGTCTAACTTCAAATCCTGCATACGGGATGGGGGTTACTCACTGCTGAGAAGTCATATACTAGAAAGAAACAGTTGTCCAGTGCTTGATGGTATTTAATGGTAGCCTAGCTTAGATCGACTTGTGAATTCAATTGTGAAACTATTCTTATGTTCATAAATTCTTATACTGATAAATTTAGTTTAACTAAATAAATTTACTAAATTAGAAATTTAAAATTCATAGAATAGAATAAATCATTTTCCAACTGTTACGTTTGAACTCAGGGTCTGGAAAGTCAGAAAAATGAAAATTTCGCAACTGCGTTAAAAATGATCTTGGTTATCTTGTATTTGTATTCCGACACCAAACAATGGGTTTTAAACGTTCTTTATGTCCTAACGCTTCAGGTTGGACTGTTTCGCTTACTACTCTATATATTTGTTGTATGCAGTATAAGCTAAATGGCAATGTATAGCTGAAGGTCTTATGTGAGACTGGAGGTTCGCCATTGACATTGTGGATAGTTCGGCATTGCTTTGGCAAGTTTTGCTGGCTGTTCTTGTGAAAAGTTGGTTTGCTGGTTGACAGTTTCATTCATACTGATGGTTGATCTTCAATGTTATCATGGTCTATTATCATTGCAGCATTGTAAGGCATATCGCCATTGCTAACACTAATGAGTTTGACTGTTGTGTAAGTGGAATGGGTCAACTTTGGCCTGTTCATGCTGTGCACAATTGATTTACGTGATCACTGATCGGAATAATTATTCATGTGATGTGAGTGTGTATATGAATGGTGCTAATGGTCCACCAGGGTGCTTGGTACCTGTGCTCCTCGGGTTAAGCCTGAGCAGTGTCTGGCTCTCCTGTTAAACGGGATTGAGCTGTACTGTTTGGGTTGTCACGTGAAAGTTTACATGGTGTCTGGTTCTCCTGAAAACTAGTGCAAAATTACCCTGGCCCACAAAGGTATGTTATATAACTGTATAAATAATAACGTTTGAACTGGTAATAATAATGATAAATTTTATTCTTCAAGATGTACATTTTGATTATGTCTCATTAGTAATTAACTTAACTCTATTTTGGTACGAGGAGGCACCAAATACATATGGGTCATACAATAACAATATGGCCAGTAGCAGTTATCATTGATCTATGTGAGGGCTGTGATACCACCCGGGTGCCCAAAACGAAGCAGGTGGTTCTCTTAGAAGGACATTCACCAAGCATTTGATCTCAAGATGTGATCCATGAGACAGTAAAACAACTTTATGAGATGCAGTCTCATGGTAACCAGTGACTAGCGATAGGTTCATACTCCATTTGTTCCCTCAGGATACTGGAGCCCATGTTTATCATTTATTTTTTACCTGAATTCAATTAACATTCTTTTGAAAGATCTATGTGATTCAATACTAAAATGATTGTTTGAGTTACTTACAATCTACTGATAAGTTCATCTAAGTCAGATCACCCGGGAAAACCTGAAAGTACTAGACAACTGTTTCGTTCCAGTACGGGATTCCTGAACAGTGCTCATTCACAATCCCGCATACAGGATTCGAATACAAGACCTATAGTCTTGCGCGCGAATGGTATCCAGTTCTTGAAGGTTTCCCATAGTTAACAGTTAATAATTTGTTTTGCTTTAAACTTACACACATACATACACACACACACGTAATTTCATATATCTTTACATAAGATTATTATCAAATTTTAGAAATGACTGGAATAGAATCGGTCATTTTGAATAATTACGTGTAATTATGTTGGTTTTTCAGACGATATAACAAATTAGTTTCATAGTCAAAGAAGATTTTTTTTCTAATTTCTACAGGTAAAAAAAACTCAAGAAAATGGGGGGCTGTATCTTACCTATATCTTAAGCTTTGTAGAGAAAAAAAAAAAAGAAAAATCTTTCTGATTTATTTGACTAGCAACAAATTATTCTTGTTTAGAGGGGAAGGATGTTTTTCTCAATTTTTTCAAAACTGATTATTATGATTATTAAAATGAGGATTTGTGAAGACTGTAATAAGTTTAATAGTTGGATTCATGAATTGACCATTCAGTGATTTCAAGTTTTCAATAATGGTCTAACATTGATCGACTCATGAATTCAATTATTAAATTATTACAATCTACACAAATCCCCAAAATGATAATAATCATATGCTCATTAGTGACTGGGTTCAAGATGGATTTCCTGAAATTCCAGTGAGAAGCTGTAACCAGTTGAGTACGATCCGTGCAGAGTGAAGACAATTATTGACCTCAGACAATGGATGAATAGTTGCACAAGATCATGGATCGACTGAAGTTAAACATCAGTACGATTGGATGTCGGATCAGTGGTTTACAGGTTAGGCATTCATACGCGAGACCGAAGGTCATTGATTCGATTCCAGCATACGGGATCGTGGAGTCTCATATTAGTACGAAACGGTCGTCCAGTGCTTCAAGTTTCCAATGGTGATCTAGCTCAATTAAAAAAATTAATACACTTATAATGATATAAATGAAACATATGTATTTATTTCTTTTTATTTCAGAATTTTGTCTACCCATAGGTGATTCATTCTGTACTGAACTTGTCCCCAATAGTTTCTGTTCAACTGAAAAAAATGAATGTTTCTGTAAATATGGTCATTATTCAATTCAAGAAGATGATGGTATCATTTGTAAAACATGTAAGTTGAACTGTTCATACATAACAATGGTACACTGGATATTAGAATCTTTCTTGTTTAGCTTCTTTTTTCCTATAAAAATTTGAACAAGGCAAGAACGATTCTAGAATTATGATCTGCTTTCATCATTACAACTGCTCTAATAATAAACTTAATCCTAAAATTGTAGATTTGTCATGATGTGACTACTTAATCTATAAGATCTTATGTGGAAGTCACATCAGTGTCTATACTGACTTGTTATATGGTGCAATCATCAACATTTAGGCTAGAGATAAAACAATATATTTAATATGAATGAAAGAGATAATTTACACAAGAATGACTACACCTGCAAGGTTGTGTCATACCATACGACTGAACTGAATTAATGTTTCCGCGTTCTCCATAGTTAACCTTCTCTTCGTGTCAATTGTTGAATATAAGTCTTTTTAGTAATTATATGCTCGACTTCAAAGGTCGTGTGATTATGGTCCAATGCCACTACAAATTCATTGCATTTCGTTGCTTTCTCTTCAGGTGCACATACAAACTAAAATGCGCAGTTATTTTCAATTGACAACATAATTTTGATAATGTGATGACGATACTTGTACTTGTTCTTCAGGTTTCAGCTCTATACAGTAGAACTATCTTGACGTTTGTATTGAAGATTGCAACTTTGATATTAGTTGACAGACAGTTGTTTTGAGTTCCATATGGTGTCCAATTGTAGGGATGTTGCCTTTGCTTTGCCAATCCTCACCTTCACATCTGCATCAGATTCTTGACGTTCATCGATGGTGTTACCTAGATAAGTAAAACTTTCCACCTCTTTCAAAGTTTCTCTGTCAATTGTGATTGAGTCGGCGTTCTCTTTGTCCTATTCGAAGATCTTACTTTTTCCCTTGTATATGTTGAAACCTATTGATGCAAAGGTTGCTGCTAAACTGGTTGTCATGGCCTGCATTTTCTCGTGTGCATGGGATAGAAGAGCTATCATGGATTCGTTGAATTTGTCAGTATCTTTTACACACCACACACGAATTGTCAATTGTCATTTCGATGTTAAGACTATGCTATTAATTGAAATCAATTAAACATTATAACTAACATGTATAGCTGAAGAGAATGCAACGAAATTCAATGAATTCAGAGTATTCTACGAATGTCATCGTGCTTGCTTTGTTTAAAAAAAAAACTAATATCATTACTACAGTTCGTTTTGTATGAAAAATATCCGATTTTGTATGTAAGTATTTTAAAATGCATATATATTGGTTGTTTGGATCTTCCTTTTCATTGTTTAGGAGTGTAATTAATCAATCTCTTTTGGTACTTTTACATCTTGTGTGGATGACTTTGATATTGAGCGCATGCTGAATTCCACTGTTAACTATCATCCATCTCTGCTTATAATCATGGTAACTAAATAGCAATATCAAGACCGTTTCACAAGATGAACGAATCCTAAAAAAGAGTCTTATCAATTCCAGCCCTAAACATCAATCAAATAATCCTAACAACCAATACAAATGAAGTCTGTATTATTATTTAAACAATCTACGATATTAGGGTAACATGGTGGTTGGAGGTGGTCAACAGGAAACCCTGGACCCGGGTTTCGTGCTACTTGGCACTCGTCAGCAAGGTGTACCTGTAATCTTGAGGGAACTGATGCTCCCTGGCGGATTCGATCCCGCGTCACTCAGCTTCACAGTCAGAGACGTTACCACTGAGCTATTCGGGCCGCGACCGACCTCCTGTAGGACTGAGATCTAATCACAATTGATTGATCACTGGGTGGTGATCAATCTCATGCGTGTCAGGTCCTTAGTGCTGATCGAATGCTATCGCAGTGTCGAGCCACCTAGACTGGTGGCCACATTGCAACTTGATCGATAGCATTCGATCAGCACTAAGGACCTGACACGCATGAGATTGATCACCACCCAGTGATCAATCTACGATATTACTCAACCATCTTCTACTACTGCCTTAAATGTGTACCTTCCTCACATCCACCACTGTTTGATTCCATCTACTTACATCTTCTTACAAAAACTCTGGAAATCCTCCCATGAATCAAGTCACTAATGAATAATACATTAAGAAATTTCAAAGATATTTGTATCAGTTATTCCCGTTAATGTCCATGTTCGTAACAAAAAACATAATAAAAGTACACCAATAATCTATAAAACTCATATTTAAGTAGTTACATTAATTGATATTCGCTCTTTAATTGAAATTTAATTAAACAATAAAAGTATCATTTAAATAAACAATAAAAACCTTCTAGGATCCATTAAATTAACTAAACTTTAATTAAAAAATAGTTACTTAGTGATTTTTATGAATAAAACTAAAGAATTTTTATCAGAAGGAGGGGGGTTTTGTGGAGATTTTAGTAATTTTATATAGTTAAAATCATGAGTCAATTGAAGCTAGACAACCATGGAAAACCCGGAAGAATTGGGCGGCTGTTTCATCCAATTGTGGGACTTTTCAGCAGTGCGAATCCACGATTCTGTCTTGAGGGATTCGAACCAACGACCTATCGTGGATTGGTTGAAGTTAGGCATTAATAACGTTGGATATCTGCTAAGTGGTCTAGATATTGAGCGCTCATGCGTGAGACTAATAGGTCCTGAATTAGAATCTCGAGAGGCGGGATCGTAGATTCTCACTGATGAGGAGTCCCATTATAAGACGAAACGGCCATCCAGTGCTTCCAGGTTTTCTATAGTGGTTTAACTACAATCGACTCATGAGTTCAACTATAAAGAATCTTTATCATAGAAAGATATTTATACAAATATGGAAAATATTTTTATTAGATTGTCTTATAATCGAATAATCATTTGATTTTATCCCAGAATAAAAAAAATAAAGCAAAGTCTATTGTCCAATAACTGTGTATTTCATTGTTTTTGGATATAATGAATGTCTTGGAACAAAAAGGACTTAAACTGATTTAATACATTTTAGCAAAATCTAAGTTTATAGTTTCAAGGAGATCGATTCTAATAACTGCCTATCATACAAAGTGTACCGTGATGTTTACCAACTATGTTTTGAATGCATATGACAAAGTGTATTATCCACAATTGGGCACAGGCCGTCGACCAGCATTACCCAACCCACTCTGTCCTGGGCTTTCTTTTCTAGTTCTATCCAAATTTTGTTCATTCTTCTCATGTCTAAATCCGTTTCTCGGCGTAATATGTTCATCAGTCTTACTCTTCTTTATTGACCTTGAGAATTCCAATTTAGCGCCTTCCTTGTGGTGCAGTTTGATGATCTCTTCAATGTTTGTCCTATCCACTTCAAGCGCTTCTTCCAGATTTCTTCCTCTGCTGGAATCTGGTTTGTTCTCTCCCACAGTAACTTGTTGCTGATAGTGTCTGGCCAACGGGTCCGAAGTATCTTTCGTAGACAACTGTTAATAAACACCTGTATCTTCTGGATTATGGCTTCCATTGTTCTCCAAGTCTCCGCCTCATACAATAGAACTGTCTTGACATTTGTATTGAAAATTCTGATCTTGTTGTTGGTTGACAATTGTTTTGATTTTCAGATATTCTACAGTTGTAAATATGCTGCTCTTGCTATGCCGATCCTCGCCTTCACATCTGCATCAGATCCACCGTGCTCATCAATGATGCTGTCCAGATATGTAAAGGTTTTCACATCCTCCAATGCCTCTCCGTCAAGTGTAATTGGATTGGTGCATGTTGTGTTGCATCGGAGATTCTTGCTTTTCCCTTAGTTTATATTGAGACCTACTTCTGCTGAGGCTGATGCTTTATTGGCCGCCTCCTCTTGCATTTGATGTTGAATGTGTGATAGTAGAGCCAGATCATCTACGAAATCTAAATCTTCAAGCTTCATCCTAGCTGTCCACTGTGTCCCGCGCTTCCCACCAGTTGTTGACGTCTTGATGATCCAGTCGATCACCAGGAGAAAGAGAGTGATAGTAAGCAACCATGTCTGAACCCGGTCCTTAGGTCGAACGAATCTGCCAACTGTCCTCCATGCATGAGTTTGAGATTTGATCTATCATAGGAATTGCGTATGATATTGACTATCTTCTCAGGCACGCCGTAGTGTCGAAGAAGCCTCCATAGTGTTGTCCTGTCCACTCTATCAAATGCTTTCTCATAGTCAATGGAGTTAATGTACAGTGATGAATTTCATTCAAATGATTGTTCCGCAATGATCCGTAGTGTTGCGATGTGGTCTGTACACGATCGATCCTTACGGAATCCAGATTGTTGGTCTCGAAGTTGGGAGTCTACGGAGTCCTTCATTCTGTCTAACAACACCCTATTGAAGACTTTTCCTGGTATTGAGAGAAGAGTGATGCCTTGGCTTTTCTGCTCTTGTTCGGCTGGTATTGATTGCTGCTTCTAATTTTCATATAAAAATGTCTTAACAAGTATATAATGTGTGATCAGATTGTTCGAAATGTGTTGCGCTAATGTATTATCACATAATTTTGATAATCTTCGTCTTCTTATTACACTATCGAAAGTTAATTTGTTTGTAATGAATAAGTCCAATATAGTTGTAAAGTAAATGAATGTTTTTTTAAATATCAAGTTTCTTAAGCAATGATCCCTCTGCCCATAAATAGTAATATCTTCAAAAATGGATGGTGGATAGCAGTGGAATCCAATATGCACACCGCCTCGTCCTATTTGAGACTCTTCAGCTGGATGTTCACTCCAGAAATGGAACTCAGTACCATTGAGATGAAGGTACATCCCGTTGAGGAGTCCCAGATAGGACGAAATACGCATCCTTGATTCCATTACTAGCCACCATACATCTCTGCTTATAATGCTTGTGACTTTATGCAATATCGAGGCAATATGCACAGTATGCATATATGGCCAATAAAAGACTGATTAATTGTAGTCCTAAACGTCAATGGGAAGATTTAACCAAACAATACCAAGTGAATTCAAACTTCACCCCATTGCACAAGCAAGTGGCTATTAGGAATCAGTAGCTGAGTGGATAACGTGATGGCGTTTGAAGCGAACAGTACTGGGTTGCAGTCTCACAGTGAACATCAATTCCGAGATGCAGCTACATCCAACTGACGAATCCCAAATAGGACGAAACGCGCTTCAAACTGGATCCCACTGCTATCCATTATCCATCTTTTCTTATAATACTTGTGACTTTATACAATATCAAAGCAATACGCACAAAATGCACACATGCTAATAATAGATCTATCAATTACAGTCCTAAACATTAATGAGAAGATTCAAACAACAATGAATTGAATCATAATTAGTGAATAAAATCATCTGTTATGAAATAGATTTCAAATTAGATTTTCCTACAAATTATATACTTTGAAAATACCAACAATAAGTATAATATAGAGTTGAGATCATGAGTCAATTGAAGTTAGACCACCATGGAAAATCTGGATTCACTGGACAGTCGTTTCGTCCCATTATGGGACTCCTCAGCAGTGCACATCACCGATTCCGCACTCACGAGATCCGAACCCAGGACGTACCAGTTTCGCGCCAGATCACTTAACCGATAGACCACTGAGACCGCTGACACTCAACGGTGTTAATGTCTAACTTCATCCAATCCACGAAATTGAGCAATCATTCACCAATGTCATCAGTGAGTTGATATCTCCCAACAGACCTAGTTGAACTCCACTGGTGACTGCTTCACACTAGAACTCCAGGAAATACCTCATGGAATCAGTCACTAGTGAGCACATGAGCACAAAACTCCTTCTGATAATGATCATCAAGATTGAATGTCCTGGGTTTATATGGGATCATGGATGCTCACTGCTAAGGAGTCCCACAATAGGATGAAACGGTCTTCCAATGCTTTCAGGTTTTTCATAGTGGTCTAACTTCAACTGACTCATTATTCTCAACTCTATAAAATCACTAAAATCTCTACAAAACCCCTTCCGAAAAAAAATATTCATTAGGCAATAAGATTTCGAAAAAATTATAACCTTGGTAACATTTACTTCTTCATTAATTAAAGTAAAATTATTATAACCTTAGGAATAACTATATACCCCACCCATTAGAGAATTATAAGATTTACACAACAACAAAAAATGTAAAAGGCTAAAGTGTATTCAAGATACATTTTCATTATATACAAATCTGTTGAATTTTATTTTACATTATAATAGTGTACTACAAAATAGAAATCAATAGACGTTTATACAAATGTATAGTACTAATACGAAGCATAACGCCTTAAATAAGGTCAAATTTATCTAAATTATAATCCTTGAATTATTTCAAAGAAATTTTACTAGTTGAATTCATCAGATCATTAAAGGTAGGCCATTATGGAAAGTTTGGAAGCACAGGATGGCTGTTTCGTCCTAGTATAGGACTCCTCATCAGCGCGCATCCACAATCCCTATATGAATCCAGAACCTTCAGTTTTGAGGTTAAGCGCTCACGCGAGAAACACAAGGTTTTGGGTTCGTATGGAATCGTGGATGCTTACTGCTGAAGAGTCCTATAGTAGGACGAAACGGTCTTCCAGTAATTCTAGGTCTTCTATGGTGGTCTACCCTAGGCTGACTCATTAATTTAACTATTAAATTATTCATTGCTTGTTATTATAAAGACTGAATAGATTCATTTAATTAATTATGGTATGTGAGGTTTTTTCTACTTACAAATTATAAAAATGATCAACTTGACCTAAAAAATACCATTAAAAACTAGGATGTAGCATGTCGTTGTTACTTCTTAACACCAAGCTCCTCAGGAGTGTACAATAGTGATCACACTAGTGGTCGAACACAGTAGTCTTAGATTCCACTACTAAATTAACCTTTAAGTGACGTGAATGTCTACTAGTGATACTGTTCAACCATTGTCTGCAACACGTGTCATTTCTTACACGTACGATTTTTAAGGTGACAGTTTGTTGCGAATTTAAACCCGGCCTTTTATCACGTGATTTATTCACCAATCAAAATACCACTTATTTAATCTTAGTACCGTACCAAACCAATGACGTTCGATCGGTATGAGCAGCCTTGCGTCTTTATTGGTCCTTTGTTAGCCTAACCCGTCCACTTAGGTATAGAACACCAATAACAGCATCTACTATATGAATCATTCATTTCAAACATACTTGGTTTATATGCCAGACAAAACAGACCACATCATACCATAGAATAAGAAATAACAATTGTACAAGATCAAGCCAAAATGTGGCTGTGAAAGTGGGAGACGATAATTATTAAACTGAGTATAATTTAAGAATAGTAAATTGTATAATAATAACCTACAGGTCAAAATGAAGCTTATAATAAGATGAATATAGATATACACAATTTAATTACTCAATAGTTAAACAATAAGAATATATATAATATTAGTCCATTAATATTCCTCAGAAGTTACCCGTAATTTAATCTTCACTAGGATATAACACAGTTTTCAACTGAAACTTCAGGAATTCTTCTCTAAGCCATGCCAGAAATGAAGCAGATATCACTGAAGGCCTTAAAAAGTGATCAGACATCATCATGAAGTTTCAAATTTAAACCACTAAGTCCCTTTCGGATTATGTAAAGATTATTTTATCATATAAAATTTGTTCTTTTTCTGTCATTCTCGGCTTCCACTCCATATTAGTTTCAAACTAAATAATATTACCAAGCTGCTCCTAGATAATATGAAGAGTGATCATTCATAAAAGAAGAAATTCCAAGATTGAAATCTTCGAGAGGACTGTTTAATGAAGCATTTGATGAATCAACATGATGTTGTAGTATCGGTTTATATGTTAAGCCCATATACTTTATTCTAGCTACTGGCCAAGCCAATTCACCTATATATTATGAGTCATATTTTAATCTTGTTAATTATTCGCTTATTAACTTTGACTACTTTTTTTATATGGGCGTATGTGTACGCACACTTCGTATCTTATTCATCATATATCTGTCATTCATTTTTGTCTGACTATAAATGTTGATTAACACTTGCTTAAAATGAGTTGGCTTCCCCGCCATCTCCAATACACATTATTTTCGCTTCGCTGTCGAGTTGACTTCGCCGCCATCTCCAATACGTGTCATGTATGTTTAGCTCGCTAACATTTGCTCATGTACTCACAGCTTTCTGGTCTGCATCATTTATCAATAAAAATGCAGTTGCCTCTTCTCTTCGCCTTCTGATATTATGCACCGGTAAGATTGATATTAATAACGGTAATACAAACGATTAATTAACGAAGCACGGCACTACGATGTAATTGAATGAATGACAGTACTATTTCAACATTCATTTATTCACTATAAACATTAGCTAAATCATATGGTAATGGAATGGGTGTAGCTGATTTTTAAAAAACACACACACACTAGGTTACATAAGTTCAACTTCGCGTCAACCTATAGTTTTATAAAAGAATAAAGGGTACTATTAACTGATGGATGTTTTCTACTTTGATGAATTTTAGTGTTTCTCCAACCTTATTTATTACTAAATTGATAATCCTTATCTATTTTATGTATTCTTTACTACATCTCTCCTTCACCAATCTTATCAATTTAAAACATAGTACTAACAAATGATAAATGTCAATTGGATAGTGATTGTATATATGTGAAAAATAGTATATGTCATCCTGGTGCTGGAGCATGTATTTGTCCATCTGGAACTATTTATATACCGGAAGAACAAGCATGTAGTAAGTTATTTTGAATATTATGTAATATTTCTTAGTTGAGATAATTGAAATCATGAATCAATTGAAGCTAGACCACTATAGAAAACCTAGAAGTACTGGATGGCTGTTTCGTCCTATTGTGGGACTCCTCAGCAATGAGCATTTAAACAAATTATACAAGAATATAAGTTGGATATAAAAAACTCAAATATTACCTTAGAAACAGTGTATTTTAAAAACGAACTAGATGACTTTTTGAATACACCAACAAATTAACTCATTATATATACACAATATAAACTTCGTGATGAACAAGGATGGAAAATAATATTCATTAAGTCATTAGTCAAATAACGAAACCAGGCAATGACAATGTGAGTAGAAGTAACGGCGAGACTATGATTTATGGATGACCTTTGAACGAATATTGAGTGACCTTGGGAAACATTAGCCAATCAGAAAGCAGATAGTATACAGCAAGAATATACTATACAAAATCCAAGATTCAAAGTGGATATACTTCTTTCACATGGTTTAAAAACTTGTCAAGGTTAGAAAGAGGTTCAGGTGTTCTAAAATTGTAGTGCATACGGTAGAGGAAATAATCCATATGGCTCCATAATAGTAGGCCTCTGGAGCCATGATAAGGTAGTAAAAACACTTTCAGCCTCGACCACATAGCTTCAATATTGTTTGTTTTCACTCCGGTTGTTGGATCCACAACATACCGCTTGTAGATAACGACATGATGCACAAAAAAAAATTTATGTAGGCATCTGTACGCTCTCCAATCCTCCGTATATATCGTTGTACTCGGTTGCAGCCAGTGTTGCTGGTGTTTTTATTATCTAGTTAGTAACAATTGTCGTAAATTCTCCTACTCTCAATCTGGATTGACAGAAGAAAATCCTATTCTAGCAGATTTCTTCATCCAACACATATTACATCGAAAGACAACATCACGATAGTCTGCACAAGTTCCACAACTTATTCGATTGCCACAATCACAAATAAAGAAACTTCTTAGTAGTCCCACCTGTTATAGCCGCTCAATTATCACTTTTTCTTTAAAATCCTCTGTGAACCAACAAGTTTCAACTGATGACATGACTTATAATGAAGTAATTTCAGTTAACAAAGATAATACAACTTAATCTATCTAGTTTAATTCTGTACATTAAAAAATTCCAGATATTTCGCATGCTTTTATCCATGGAAATCGAATGTGCTGATACAAGTTTGACATTTATTTAGGTTATAGATTATTTCTTCATCATTATAATTACTATGTATCTTCAGATATCATTCAGTTCAATTGTTTATTTGATTACATTATCACAAAATTTTTAAAAAAAATCTCAACCTGGAAGCATTAGAAGACCGTCTAGTTCTAATACGGGACTCCTCAACAGTCTGTATCCACGATACACTATACGGGATTCGAACACAGGAACTACAGGCTCGCACGCAAATGATTAACCTCTAAATCCGTGAGTCGGTATCCAACAGTGTTAATGTTTAACTTCAACCAATCCACAATATTGCGCGACCATCTATCATTGTCTTCAGTGAATAACTGCCTCACAAGAGACACGGTTGAACTCTACTGATCACAGCTTCCTAATGGTGGTCTAACATTAATCCATTTTTGATATCAATCTAAACTTCAAAATTTCCATAACCCTAGACTGTTGGTTACCATTTAATCAAAAAATTCCTTTGCTATTATTTTTATCATCTTAGAGACTGATGATAATGATATGTAGGCTTAAATGTTTAACATATATGTCTAGAGTTATCATCTGTTTTATTTAACTGTTACAGGATTTCAAATCAAAACATTTACAAATGATTACTGCGATAAATGTCAACGTTTTCATGGATTATGCTACAGAAATGAAGAAGACCAGGGAATAATTCAAAAATTTGCATTAGCATACAGTCAATTCAATGAAAGGTAAATTATTTATTTATTTATTTAAACACATAAATATTGGTACAATGAAGCACCAGATAAATATGTGCCTCACAAATCTCATTCGATTTGTGTGAGGGCTGTGATAATGTCCAGATTCCCAAACCAAAACAGGTGGTTTTCTTAGGGAGCCACACCCCGAGCCTTTGACCTAAAGGTCTAATCCACAAGGCAGTGGAGCATCGTGAGAAGATGCAGTCCCATGGTAGCCGATGATCAATGATTGATTCGTACGTCATTTGTTCACTCAGGATCCTGGAACACATGTGCACCATTGGTTTGGAATGAGGGTTTTCCAACTCCTCTAGGTGGACTCGTCTTGTCCACTAACCCGGTTAAAGCGCCGGACATTCGCTTTTCGTCCTCTCAGTTTCGTAAACAACACCCCCGCCACGAGATTGAGTTATAGTAACTTTCCTACAATCAATTATGTTAGCGATTAATTTTGTCGAGCCTATTTATTAACTTATTAACTTAATGGACAGTGTTATTCGAACAGGAACAATCTGTCTATTTCTTTATAATATTATGATCATCATCATGTCTGTGTAAGTGTGTATGCTTGAATCATATTAATCGCCTTACCTTACTTTGTCTTAATTCGATTGAGTTGATGTTCTCTCTTGGACTCGAACCCAGTACCGTTCTCTTCAAACGCCATCGTGTTATCCACTTAGCTAATGAGTCCTGATAGCCATTTACTTGCGCAATGGGTTGAAGTTTGAATTCACTTAGTATTGTTTGTTTGAATCTTCCAACAAGCAAGTGGCTATCAGTACTCAGTAACTAAGTGGATAACACGATGGCATTTGAAGCGAAAGGTACTGGGTTCTAGTTCCAGAGTGAACATCAACTCTGAGATGCAGGCACATCCAACTGACGAGTCTCAAACAGGGCGAAACAAGAGTACTGGATTCTACTGCTGGCCAATATCCATGTTTGATTCTATCAATTCAGTTTATATGGTAATAACAACCATATTTAATCTGTTTACCGTATCAGTAATACATTTTCTTTTTCTACATTCCATTAATGCTTTCGTTTATTACTGATTAAAGACTATATAGTAGAATTTCACAAAAATACAACTCATTATATTTTAATAAATGTTCAATGTATAATGCTATAATTTAACACGTCCACATGGTCATACATCTTTTGAAATAGGAATTATCTACTAAATTAATTGTTTGATAACTTATTTGGTAATTTAATAGTTGAATTCATGAGTCGATTTAAGTTAGATCACTCTGGATAATGTGGAATCATTGGTCGGCCTTTTCGTCCTAATATGGGACCTCTTATCAGTACTACTACTACTATTTCCCCAAACCCTCATTCCGACAATTTTCATCATGTACTTACTAGTGATTAGCTTCAAAATGTGTTTCCTGGAGTTCTAGTGAGAAGCCGTGACCAGTAGAGTCCAACCGTGTCTCTTGTGAGGCAGTTAATCACTCAAGACAATGATAGATGGTCGCACAATACAGTGAACTGATTGAAGTTAGACATTAACACTTTTGGATGCTAAATCACTGATTTAGAGGTTAATCGTTCGCGCGCGGGCCTGGAGTTCCTGTGTTCGAATCCCGTTTAGTGGATCATGGATACGGACTGTTAAGAAACTTCATACTAAAGCTGCACAATCGTCCAATACTTCCAGGTTTTCCGGCTTAGTCTAGATTAAATCGACTCATGAATTCGATCGTTAAATTACTACAACTTCCACAAATCCTCACTTTGACAACATACTAGGTAATTTTTAAGTTATTTCACATGTTACTCATTTATAAAAAAAAGAGTTAATCAGTGTAAAGAAGCTATTATCATACATTATTATTATCACTTCAGAATTCCTTATAGATGTAAATGCCCATACAATGCAGTTTCCATTAATACTAACCTCCTCTGGAATAGATCATATATCAATCAATCTCAAAAATTAGTATCAATTAATGATATACAAATATTAGACTCTATGAATAAGAAAGAGAATATTGGCTTCTGTCGAGGTTTGCTAGGTAAGTCTAACATTATTCCATAAAGAATGTATTATACATATATACCCTCTAACTTGATAATTTTACAAAGTCATCGTTTAATAATTATATTTATTTCAATAGTTGAAAGGGTGATTCAATTGAAGCTAGAACACCATCGAAAACATGGAAGCACTGAACGGCCGTTTCGTCCTATTATGGGACTCCTCAGCAGTGCGCATCCACAACATCGCCTCGCTAGTTCTATCGTGGTCTATCGGTTAAGTGCTCTGGCGCGAGACTGGTAGATCCTTGGTTCGATACTTGTGAGGAGTGGTCGTGGGTGCACACTGCTGAGGAGTCCCACAATAGGACGAAACGACCGTCCAGTGCTTCCAGGTTTGCCATGGTGTTCTAGCTTCAATTGAATCACGCTTTTAACTATGAAAAAATATATTTAGTTTCAGTTTACAAATTTAGACAAAAACAATAAGGTTTCCTAAAGTAGAATGAATTCATTGTACTTTATTGTGCTTCTCTTATGACAATTTAGAAAACTGGTAAAGTTTAATTATACTTCTCAGTGAAGACATTTAAATTACTTTAGTAAGTAAGAAACTTGAATGTATCTTAAGTTAATGAGAGTAGAGTGACGTAGTTCCAATTGATAACAATCGTAATATAATTATTTTTATGGGTTTGTAATTTTCTGTCGGTAATGCTCGGTGCTAAAATAAACCAGACTCTCTGTTGTTGTTATATTAGATTTTTGAGTGAACATCTTGAATTATTATCCTGATTTGCCAGTTTGCTACATTCTTGTACAAGGACTAACAATAATACCCATTTTATTTATTTTGTATGATACAGATACTGTCTTAAATAGGATGTATTACATATCCTGAATTCTACTTCTAGACACTAGTTAGAAATATAATCATTACAGTGATAGATCTAGAGTATGAAAGATGATTTTATTTTATAATATAATAGTCGTTATTACTATAGAGCAAACACAGGGCTTGTAAGGGAATCAAGACAAAATGAAGGAAACTGGAGTCAGAGTCAAAGAAAATCATCTTCTATGAAAAAAGAAATACTGGTCAGCGGTTTCATAATACTATTAGACTTTTCTAAAGAGCGAATCCATCAGCCTGCTGAAATCAGAACATTAACGTCTTCCAGTGTGCGCATAGTATTCAGACAACTGAGTCTATATTGAATGGCTTGCATTTCTAATTTTAGTCAATTCGTGATATTTATCAGATGGTGTCTGATATGTGCAATAACTGAACTGCACTAGTCACGACTTCTTCGAGAACTAGTTCTAGAAACTTGTCACTAGTGTACATATGATCACTATTGGTGCAGATGGGTTATAGAGTTTGTAGTGACATAATAAATGAAGAATTACTTCATCTTCGACAGACTCTCATCAAAAATGGTTATCCACCGAGGTTCGTTGATAGCAACTTAACATCTAGACGTCAGCAACAAATGACTTTGACGGTGCAGAAGAAAACCTTGTTTATGAATATGGAATTCAAGGGAGACACGGCTGCTGAAATCCTGAATAAACGGATTTCGAAAACGTTGAATAAAACTTTCTACACAGCCAAGCTCCGAATCGTTTTCTCTAGCCGGCCTACAATTCTGGGGTGTGTTAAGGATAAGCTTTCGCTTTGGGCCACATCGATGTGCATTTATAAATTTACTTGTTCATGTGGAGCACGTTATATGGGCAGCACAAAGCGATCGCTTTCCAAACGTATCTCTGAACACTATCCAGCTTGGCTCCTAAAAGGTAAATGTAAGAAGATAACCAGTTCAATACAAGAGCACTTGATCAATTGCAGAAACATTGCTCCAAAAGAGACGTCTTTTAAAATAATCTATAGAGTTAAAGGAACCTGATCAAAGGGAGGTCGAATCAATATTTTATGCACTGCTGAGGCATTGGCAATCCATGAATTCAAGCCTGAACTTTGCGTGCAGAAACGATTTGTCCAACCTCTTACCCTTCCTTTGCCCTAATTCCCTCATTGGGTAAGTTTTTTGGTTTTTTGTTTTTGTACTTTTATCTGATCATTATTGTTTTTTAAATAACTACTTTACATTTAAACTCTAATCAGTTATTATTATTATTATGACCTTTGTGTTTGTCACTTTTCTTCATATCTGTCAATTGAACTATTATCTGACCCATAAATTATTTTCTTCCTTACCCCTTGATTAGTACGTCACCTCATTTGTTATTTATTGTCAAATCAATTTTGTAATGCAATCTTTTCTAGCCTCCTATAGACATATATTTTCCATATTACTATATATACGAATGTACAGCTTAAGTAAATGATTTCGTCGAAAAGAAAATTTTCTTCGCTGAATTCTCTTTTTCTTATTCAATGACATTATGAGTTATTTTAGTTATTTTGATTCAATATAATCAAAATTCCATTGAAAACGTAGCTAGAGATCAGATAGCTTGAATACTTAGACACTCATTATGAGTACAATGTGAATATAAACTTGATTTTAAATCACTTTTCAGTTCACTATGATTCAGTTAAACGAACTACATGCTGGGCGTAAGTGATGCTCTACTACTTTTTCCTTGTCATTATTGTATTTCATACAATATTATCATAAAATAAATCGGAAAAACGTTATATCCTTGATCCTATGACTACAACTTAATTATCAAGAACTGTTCCATCCAAATTCGGTCTCTTCTTATCAATATCCACACCATAGACTGGGCATATTACAATGAGAATAGTCTAATGAGAACCTGTTTGTTACAATGTCTAGAAATCTAAATCTTCTACATAAATATAGATATGTTATTGATGTTCAATATTCAAGAATTTTCAAATAAAAAGGAAGACTAATCCAAATACTTCCATATTTTAACTAACTTATTAATATTTTCACAGTTGAAATCATGAGTCAATTAAAGCTAGACCACCATCGAAAACCTGGAAGCACTGGACAGCCGTTTCGTCTTATTATGAAACTCCTCAGCAGTGCGCATTCACGATCCTGCACCCGCGAGATTCGAACCCAGGTCTGTTGTGAGATAACAACTCACTGATGGCAATTGTTGAACGGTTGCTCAAACTTCGTGGATTGGTTGAAGTTAGACATTAACACCGTTGGATGCCAACTGGCTCAGTGGTCTATCGGTTAAGGGCTTCGGCTCGAGACTGGTAAGTCCTGAGTTCGGATCTCGCGGATGCGGGACCGCGAATAAGCACTGCTGAGGAATCCCATAATAGGACGAAATGGCCGTCCAGTGCTTCCATGTTTTCGATGGTGGTCTAGCTTCAATTGACTCATGATTTCAACTGTGAAAATACTAAATTCTCCACAAAACCCCCCTATAACTTATTAATGTCATCTCGCTTTTAAAATTAGCTTCGTTGTCTTTCAAGTGTTAAGTAATCTCTAATTATTTATTATGAATCATATTGAAAACAATTAACTAAATGAAAACTGAGTTATCATTACATCCTTCGTATTTTTCTTGTTGCCCTTTAGCAAATTTTTAAACGCAGGCGCACACACTCGAAACAGCTTGATACTATTTAATACTCCTTATAAATTAACAAAAATTACCAGTAATGAGTTTAATGTTTTCTCATCGCTTCCCTTCAAATCTATGTAAACTTTTTTGATTGAGATCGTGAATCAATTGATGTTAAGCCATCATTGGAATCCTGGAATCGCTGGACGGCCGTTTCGTCCTAGTGAGAGGCCGTAACCAGTAGAGTTAATTCATGTCAGGTAAAGATAGATAACTACCTCAGATAATGAGAGATGGTCACTCAATTTAGTGAATTGGTTAAACTTAATCATTAACACCATTGGATACCGACTCACTGATCTACAGTCCAAGCGTTCGCGATCACGACCGAAGGTTATGTGTTCGAGTCCCGCATACGGTATCGCGGATGCGCACTGTTGAGTCACATACTAGGACGAAACGCCCATTCAGTGCTTTCAAGGTTTAAATGGCGGTCAATATCAACCGATTCATGATTTCAATCGAAAACTTAACAATCTCCAAAACAACATTTTGACAAACTTGTTTTGCTTAAAAAACGTTTATTACCTACTCGAAACTGAAGATAATTCTCATTTCAGTTGACATCTTCACATTTATCTACAATAGTTATTACCTACTATTTCATCAAAATGCCAATTGTTTGTACATCTCCTTTGTTGTGTCTTGCGAAGATGATAAGAGCACATATTACTTGCTCGTCATAGTTGATCTTAAAATAAAAAGGAACGGTTTCAACGAAGAGTTTTCTTTTAAGCGAATTCAATATCAAAGTTGTATAATCGCAAATATATATGCAGTGGACGAACGCTCGGTACAGATATCTAATTGCTCCGTTACGAGACTGGTAGGTCCTGGCTTCGAATCTCGCGAATGCCGTCCAGTGCTTCAAAGTTTTCCATGGTGGTCTAGCTTCAATTGACTCATGATTTTAACTATGAAAATATCTAATTTATTATTTAATGCTTTGGTAAAATACAAAAACCATACATTAAATATATTATTTGTACATCTTCTATCAGTTTTCATTTACATACTTCATGATTCCTCCAATACCGTTTTCATTCCAATTGCTCTCCGTTTCTTTTTCTGTTCTATTCAGTTCGATCTTCTCCGTTTTCTGCTACTAGGCATTCCAATTTTGATTGGTGTTACATACCACTTATATCTATCAATATAAGTAGCATACAACATATATATACTTATTTTTAAGGATGATAATAATTACAATAATAGTAATAATAAAATTCTTATGAACACGTTTACAGTGAGGTAGAATAAACAAAGGTATTAAAGCATTATTTTTTTATCAAGCAAGTAGGTATCAAGACATAGTAGCTAAGTGGATAACACGGTGGTGTTTGAAGTGAACGGTACTAGTTTTGAGTTACAGAGTAATTATCAACTCTGGGATGCAGGTACATACAGCTGACCAGCTCCAAATAGGAAGAAACACGTGTCCTAGATTCCATTGCTAGCCACCATCCATTTTTGTTTATGATGTTTGTGACTTAATGCAATGTGGAAGCAATACGCACAGTATGCACATATGCCAGTAAGAAACTGATCAATTGTAGTCCTGAATAATAATGGGAGGATTCAAGCACACAATATCAAGTGAATTGAAACTAATAACAGTTTCGTTGTTAAAGTTTTGAATATTCTTCATGTAGATAATTAAGGAAATTATAATTGGGAAAAGGATGGCTCAACATGTTAAGACAAAATGTTGATATTGAGATGAAAAGTAACCAGGGAGGATAATAGAAACAGAAATAAACCAGTAGGGGGTAAAGTTCTATAGAGGAGATAGAATGGGAAGCAGATGGCTATGAAGGAAGAGAAGTATGAAGAAGAAAGAAAATTACGAAACATCAAGACTCTTTTGGAAACATATTTGACACCTTAATTGACATTAGAAAACGTAAAACATAGGAATTAAGTTTACATCATCTTTAAACTTCTGTTAGCCCTAAATCTATAATTATCTCTATCAACTCTATCATTATAAACGTTTAAAACTTAAAGACCGATTGTGTAAATGAAATAAAATTGTTTATAACATCAATTTTGATATTGTGGTTAACACTTTTAACTAAGTATAATGATAGTCATAACGAATCAAACAATTATTGCTTTAAAAATATCTTTCTTTCTATAATAGATTGATATTATCTAGAGGAACACTGAAAACTACTGAGCATAGGACAATGGTCTCGCTGTAGTTTAGAACTTCCTTGTAGTATAAACCCAGGGTCCCACACAGGATGAATTTTAAGCGGTGAGCACGGTAATATTCATTTGCTATATCAAGACTCAATGTTCATTGATCATAGCATTAATCAGTTTGGGACATATAGCTTTGTAGCACCGAAGATGTTTTTTTTGCGATATTGAACAATTAATACGTCAAGCTAAAAACAAAGAAACAACTCCTGATCACATTCATTTTTAAGGTGATAAAATGATAAGCAGTTTCGACCAAAATGTTTGGCACATTAATCGAACAGTCAGTATTTGAGTAATGATATAAAATCAGAGAAGTAAATCCCATAAGTTCAAAAAGATCGCGCTGAAGTAAACTCAGAAGTTCAAAATCTTTAGTGAAGTACATTCAAAATGGACTGAGTATTTACTCAAAAACATTGAACGAGTATAAACAGTTGTTCAATGTTTTAAGAATGAAGTCAGCGTCAGTCATCAGAAAATAAAAAAAGACAAGATGAAGTGAGTAGATGATTGTTGGCCGGAATAAAGTCATATGTTACTTAGATACATCTTTCTTAGTTTCTGGGGGATTAATAAAGCCTAATTTCACCTCACAGACCTTTTTCCTTCATACAAATCAAAAGGAAAATATATAGAACAAATGTAATATGGTCAGCAGTGGGATCCAGGACGTGCGTTCCATATTATTTAAGACAGGTAAGCTGGACGTGCCTAAACCTCAGACTTGATATTCACTACGGGACTCGAATTCATTACTATTCGCTTCAAACTTCATCTCGTTTTTCATCTATTCTATATTAACTTTTATCACAACCGCTATATCAAGCCAATTCGTACAGGATGCACATTTACCAACCAAGAGCAATTAAATTTCAGTCAAAATATCTATCCAAACCATTTGAAATCTAAATGAGGAAAAATATACTCATCTTTAAGTTAATTTCACTCTCCACTCTGACAAATGTAATCACGTACATCTTAAATTATATACACTTACATGGGTCTCAGTTTTCTGAATTTAGAAACAACACAGTAAATTTTAGATTGGTTCATTGTCAATCATTCAAATAAACCATTGATAATGGTTCTTCCAACAATTTGCTTAGATGTCATTTAAGTCACACAGGTAGATGTTTCAAAAAACAATTTAACTAAAAATAATCTATCGGTTTGGGGAAGGAAACACCTTACTGCCGTCACTTCTCCATACAGTCAGCAGTACGAATTCGCCTTCGGACCTTGGGTTCACTGCTTTTAGTCTTACCGCTCTTCAATCGATCTGTCTGGCATGGTATAACCTTAAGGAACGATTGTTTCAGCCAGTATAGCTCGATTGGTTCATCACGATAGGCAAGCCCGACTACCACGTCAATGTAGAAGCAACGATCGGGGATCACTTAATACAATTTGATCCAATCCCAATCAGTCAACCTACTATATTTATAGATAGGTAATCATTTTTGATTAACCGGATAATCAATGAACTATCATTATTCGATTTAAAAATAGTTTCAGCAAACCTTACTTTTATTATTATTATTATCATAAATATGATTGATGGGGAAACTAATGTTCTACTTCTAAAAGGATATCAGTTCCATCTAAACAATATATATATATGTATATGAGTATTCTAAATAAACATATGAAAGGTTAAAAGTAAATGTCATTCAGACATTAAATTAATTTACATATCTAACATCTTCAAAGACTGAAAATTGGACAATAACTTATTGCTTGGTAACTTAAATGTTTATTTGAAATACGTCATTTTTTTAAAAATTTGAATTCATCAAAGTTACTAATCTTAGATCACTATGGTGATCTTCGTTTTCTTTTTGGATTCAATTCGTGACCTTTCTTTTTATCATTACATTCACGCATTACTTTAACTTTACAATTTGGATGAAAAACAAATTTTGAATAATAATTAAAATACAATTAAGAACTCAGTAGAAGGGGTTTTGTGGAGATTTCAGTAATTTCATAGTTGTAATCATGAGTCAATTGAAGCCAGACAACTATGGAAAACCCGGAAGCATTGAACGGCCGTTTCGTCCTATTATGGGACTCCTCGGTTAAATGTTCTGGCGCGAAACTGGTAGGTCCTGTGTTCGAATCTCTCCAGGTGGGATCATGGGTGCACACTGTTGAGAAGTCCTACAATAGGACGAAGTGGCCGTCCAGTTCTTGCAGGTTTTCAATGATGGTCTAGCTTCAATCGACTAATGATTTCAAGTATTGAAATTACTAAAATCTCCACAAAACCCTCTTCTGATAAAATACATTGTGTTTAACTATTTCTATAATTTGTGTGACTAGCTAAAACTTTTGCGCCACCTATTTCTAAACTTTACAGATACTCTAACTAAACTTTGCTATCACAATGGTTAGTGTATTCTTATTCATCTGTCCTTTAGAGAAATGTGAAATAACTGCATTGAAATTCATGTATCTAATATATATAATGCGTTGAAAACTTATGTCATAAGAGTAAAACTATTCAAAAATAGCAGCTTATAATTATTGAGAAAACACATCTTATTAGAACCATCAATCAGCATATTGAACATAGATTAATTTAATGGAAAATAGATAGTAGAACCCTATTTACAGTTATAAATTAACATTTTCATTTGCCTTACAAGATCATTACCACATTGTCCGGACGTTCCATGTACCTATAAAAATTGTTGCAACAATTGTTGTTAGAAGTGGCATCGGCCTAATGACTTCCGAAAAACCTCGGCTTTTATCATGAAGTGTCATAAATCTTCCTTCAACTCCCAGGGCAGAGTTAGCGTTTTCTTAGCGAGTTAGTTTTCTACGGGATGGGGAGGCTAACTCCATTCCCAACCCTTCTCCTTTATCCGGGCTTGGAACCGGCAGCAACCCCCGGAAAGACTACAGGCGGAGTTAATGAAATAATATATCCGACTCCAAAACTTTAACTCTCACTGTTATTTTTATTTTATTTCACAGTTGATATCGGTATGTTCTGTAACCAAATCGATATGTTATGTCGATCATCAAACGCCTTTTGTTCAAATGGGAAGATAATCAATAATGTGTATTTATCACCTCAATGTGTTTGTCAAAATGGATATTTACCAGTTTATCAAGATTATTTAGATTATTATGAATGTAGTAAGTTTTTTATAAACTCAAAATTTATGAACTGTTATGTATGACCTATATTTTAGGTAGTAGTATTAACTATTAAATGAAAAATATTCTACTTGTGTAGTTGTAATCACAATTGATTGGTCATTGGATAAGGATCAATGTCATGCGTGTCAAGTCCTTCTTAGTGCTGATCGAATGCTATCGATCAAGTTGCAATGCGGCCACTAGTCTAGGTGGCTCGACACTGCGTGCGCTGTGTCGAGATAAGATGGTGGTTGGAGGAAACCCTGGATCCGGGTATCGTGTTACTTGTCACTCGTGAGCAACGTGTACCTGTTATCTTGAGGGAACTGGTGCTCCGATCCCATGTCAGTTAGCTTCAAAGTCAGAGACGTTACCACTGAGCTATTCGGGCCGTGACTGACCTCTTGTAGGACTGAGATGTAATCACAATTCATTGATCACTGGGTAATGATCAATGTCATGCACGTCAAGTCCTTCTTAGAGCTGATCGAATGCTATCTATTGTTTACGTATCCATGAAGTGAACAATCTATAGCAGTCAAATATTTCCAGAGTATAATTGTTTATGACCGATATAAAACTCAGAAATTTGTTGTACTATAATTGTATTAGTCCTAAATGAAAGTAAATGACTGTTTGATTTATGTAAACCCACGACATAATCTTATTCTATAATTTAATTAATTAGATTATGATCAGAATGGGGTTGTGTGGATTGTAGTAATTTTTTTATAGTTGAATTCATTAGTCAATTAAAGCTAGACTACCATGAAAAACTTGGGAGCACAGGAAGGCCGTTTTTCCTATTATGGGACTCTTCAGCAGTGTGAATCCACGATCCCGGACGAATCAAGCACTTTCTCTCGCGCGCGCGAACGCCTCTAGATTAGTGAGCCGTCATACAGTTTGTTTTTCTATCTGATGTACATTATTAAATAACTAATTCATCATTCCTGCTCTTTTTCCTTTCATCTCTCATAGTTCCAGTCTGTAATAGATGTTACTCAATAGAGCAATATCCTCGTCAAAAACATTGTGTATGCTCCGAAATAGTCCAACAAAATAGAATTCGCAAGGTCTATGAAATCAGCAAGAACATCCAAGACAATATATTCAGTAAGTTTCCTTAATAACAATAGAATTTCACTTTTAATTATAAATCATATTCCAATTTTTGGTTAATAAACTTGAGGCAGACTATCCTTAAACATTTCTGATTTTTTGTCAACTTGAGTAACTGAAGTCAATTCATGAGAATGCGGATTGTCATTCGAGATCATTTCATCACTTCATTGATACAAATTTCTCTCAATTCAATCAACATAATGAAGAGGTAATGTCGAACACAAACTCATCGGAATGATGTCGTATTTAATCCAGACAACTGTTAGTGAGATGGTGGAAAAGATTTGTAATTTAAACTGATAATTTTAGAGAAACTAGATTCTCTGAACTGTATAAGTGAATCGTGAAAGATTCATCTTCTTTCTAGTAGTTTACATCATTTCGATATCCTATTCATTACACTCAGAGATTGAAACTTCATCAAAAGTATACCAATCAACTTATTTGAACCAACTATGAATTTAATTCTTACACATAGAACTGTTTGTTTAACTGCAGTGATCAGCAATGTAATAAAATATATAACATGACGGAATTCTGACTAAGGACAGAGTATTATACAATCTAATCAAAGATTTTAACCTAATAATGAAATCTCAGGTTAAGCCTTACAACATAAATATGTTATTAACCTGAAACTATAGTACCACTAACGATCAAAGTTGTGAACTATTGTGATGTCGATTATGTCGTCAAATACGCATTGAAATGGTAAATGGAAGATCCAAATAACTGAGCAGGAACAATTTTGCAAAGCGCAATGTGAATCAAAAGGCGATACACGGCCATGCAATGAATAGCGAATAAACCATTTTTATAGCCTCCAACCTTTTATAACAGGTGATTTGGCTAACATAGACAGAAATTCAAAGAGTAACATCCATATTGTCTAGTAAACAGCAAAAAAAGAAGTGAAGTTCTACTGTAAGTGTAAGAAATGGCCTGAATTATTGTAAAAATAGTATACTTTTGCGAAATGAGAAAGAAATTGAGATAGGGAAGTACTTTGAATCATAATCAAGAATGCTATAAAAAGTGTAACTATCAGCAAACTACTGAACTTCGACAAGTAGTATGGTACAATATATAAAAACGTTATGAAAGAGATAATTTCATCCACCACATAAACAAACAAATTTATTATCAGAAGGGATTTTGTGGAGATTTGTAGCAATTTTATAGTTGAATTCATGAGTCAACTGAAGCTGCACCAACATGGAAAACCTGTGAGCACTGAACGGCTGTTTCGTCCAATTGTGGGACTCCTCAGCAGTGCCCATACACAATCCCGCCTCGCGAGACTCGAACCCAGTAACTATCAGTCTCGCACGTGATCGTTTAACCTCCAGATCTCTGGACCGGCATTCAACAGTGTTAATGTCTAACTTCAACCAATTCTTACACTCAAAAGTAAGTACAAATTAGATGTGGTACATTTCACATACAGAATGCTATAAGACATTGTAGCCAGAATACAGCAATATACTACTGAACACAATAAATAGTTAGTCAAGAAACATTTAACAAAGAAAATTGACAAGTTTCACCGGAACGATATTGAGGTTATTGTTCACTTATTCACCTCTTATTATTAGTGGCTTTATTCAATATTAAATTTTTGGAACAATATAGAATTCTCAGAACAAAATTTAACAAGATTCCTTTTTCTTATTTGTTCATCTATCTTGACGATAAATAGGACGTGCGTTTCGTTCTTTTAGACTGATCGATCGCAATCCTAAACATCAATGGGAAGATTCAAACAAACAATACTAAGTGAATCTAAACTTCACCCCATTGCACACGCAGGTGTCTATCAGGACTCAGTAGCTGAGTGGATCACTCAATGACGTTTGAAGCGAAAGGTTTAGGATCGCAATTGATCAGTCTCTTATTGGCTTATATGCATACTGTGCGTATTGCCTCGATATAGCCTTAATTCACAAGCATTATAAGTAAAGATGGATAGTGGTTAGCAGTGAAATCCAGGATGTACGTTTCGTCCTATTTGGTAATCATCAAGTACATCCAACCACTTAATATCGTTGCCTATAATTCCTTACAATTGTTTCATCAGATTATCATAATTTAGATGATATTATTGTTTCTTTTAATAATTTATTTGTCGTTTTTTTTTCTTGTTTTTCCATTGAATATAAAGATTTTTCTAGAACACAACAAAACTTCACAATCTGTTTTCATCCTTTTATGGTAGACCATCAATCTTCTATTTTTATGAGAAACACTAATATAACACATTTCATTGTGTTTATATCAAATCAATTCAATTCATTATATCCATATGATGCTTGTCTATTAAGTATGTTTAAAGAAGGAATATGGTGTAAAACATTGAATGTTTCTAAGAATGATGATATATTGACAAGATGTGCATCGATTCAATTTGATCATAAAAAGGTATGTATAAAAAAAATGTTAAAATAATGTCGGAAGGGGGTTTTGTGGAGATTTTAGTAATTTTATATTGTTGTAATCATGAGTCAATTGAAGCTAAACCATCATGGAAAACTTGTAAGCGCACTGCTGAGGAGTTTCACAGTAGGACGAAATGGTTTTCTATGGTCATAAGATTGATCTTAACTCGGCTTTTGTTATGTTGTTTAAATATGTAAAAGGGCGTATACTACGGTTTATTGAAGCCTTAGCCATGCGAAAATTAAAAACCCCCTTTGTGTATTCAGCATTGCGCATACACGATCCCGCCTCGCAAGATTCGAACCCAGCACCTATCAGTCTCGCGCGCGAGATTAGTTTATTTGTATTTCATATCGTCATTATCTTATTTGTTTTATCTAATACTACTTCATTTGTTTTTTTCTCATTTCTTAGAAAGAATTGACTTTTAAGACTTATATCATTGTATTATATCAATCCGTATTTGATTATATAATTAAAGATATACAATATTTCATTTCATTCACATCATATTGGAATGGAGAAAATATTACTTTAGACTCAAAAGAAATCAAGTAAGTCTTCAATCGCTGTATAACAGTAAAATGTACTTTTTGGAGATATATATATATATGGAGAGAGAGAGAGAGAATTCCCCATCGTGCATTATTTGCCGACTCTGGGACTGCTTGGAAAAAGCGGAGAGGTGGTCAGTGTATGACATGATGTCGTGGCATGAAAGAAAGCTGCAAAGGGCTATCTTCTGTTGGTCCTTCACGACTCCCTCGCTTGGGTCCAAGAGATGGTGCAACACAGTGGCTAGAGACGTTATCAGATATGGGTCAGAATAGAAGCCAGTGGCGATCCTGCTGTAACCTTCTTTAACTTTCTTCATAAAGAGTGATCATAACTTCCTTAAATAAAAGAGTTCTTCTGGTTGTAAATTTCTTATATATATATATATATATTACCCTTTTTCTCTTCCCATTTTCGTTGTTTTGTGTGGAGCATATATATCTGGCGCCCCTTTGTACCAGTATTTATGTGTTTAAATAAATACATAACCGATTTGATTTAGCTATACAATCAAGTAGAACTAGATGCTACTAAACAACTGATTCTTACATAGTTTGAAACTCTTGAGAAGTGTGTGGCTATGATCCTGTTGGTGTCCGAATAATTGCTTACTTACTTACTTACGCCCGTTATCTTCAATGGAGCATAGGCCGCCGACCAGCATACTCCAACTCACTCTGTCTTGGACCTTCTTTTCTAGTTCTATCCTATTTCTGTTCATTCTTCTCATGTTTATCTCCATTTCTTGGAGCAATGTGTTCTTTAGTCTTCCTCTTCTCCTTTGGTTTTTAGGATTCCATGTGAGGGATTGCCTCGTGACGTAGTTAGGCGTTTCCCTCAATATGTGTCCTATCCACTTCCTGCGCTTCTTTGTGATTTCTTCCTCTACTGAAATCTGGTTTGTTCTCTCCCACAGTAGGTTGTTGATGATAGTATCTGGCCAACAGATCCGAGTAACCAAATTATGGAAGCTCACAAATTGGAGGTACCTAGTTGCTTTCAGACAGCTGGTTTAGAATTCGTTAGTCTACATTTGAAATTATAGTCAGTTTGGTAAATAGCATGAGGATCATCGAATGCAAGGACTAATATGATTGGATTCCGCTATTCATGTCTCCTTACTAGAACTTTAAGAATTTCCCTCGAAAGTAGTCAGTAGTAGTTCCAAGAGTCTATCTGTATACAGTGTGACAACAGTGAAATATTGCGAATAGTTTGAAGTTGGAAATTTGGATCACCTGATACTTGCTTAGCATTTTAAAATTAAAATGTTAGCCACTAGACCTAAAATTCCTGTGTTTAGTTCATGTGTTGATCGTGTGTGCATACTACAAACAGAACCGGAACTAGGTCAAAACAGTTAACCAATAGCCTTTGATATCCAAGTGTTCTCTAGGTCAAATATGTCTGTAATGTGAACTTATTTCAAATTGAATAGGTTTCTTCAAACTCTTATCAGAACAAAAATAATTTACATTTTTATTACTAAGCTGGCTATCTATCAAACTAACAATTAATCCATGCTATTAGAATTCATTAATTATATGTTTGAGCTTCTTTCTCTAATCTAAGATTATCATAACAAATACAATCTACCTTCAGTATTAATAATTAAAATGTTAAAATACATTACAAATCACCTTCATTATCTAATCTATTACCTTTAATGGATGCTAAGAGTTGAAAAAAGATTGTTTATACTATGAAAAAAAAACTCTGTGATGTAGATACATCCAGCTGACGAGTCCCGAATAGGACGAAACGCACGTCAAACTGGATTGCACTGCTAGCCACTATCCATTTTTGCTCATAAAACTTGTGACTTCAGGCAATATCGAGGCAGTCCTCATAGGATGCAATTATGCCAATAAGAGACTGATCAATTGCAGTCCTAAATAACAATGGGAAAATACAAGTAAACAACATCAAGTCAATTTAAACTTTACCCCATTGCACAAGTAAGTGGCTATCAGGACTCAGTAGCTAAGTAGATAACGCGATGGCGTTTAAAGCGGTGGGTATTGTGATTGCAAGTACATCCAGCTGACGAGTCCCGAATAGGACGAAACGCACGTCAAACTGGATTGCACTGCTACCCACCATCCATCTTTGCTTATAAATAAATAAATAAAACAGTTTCATTAAAACTCTTTATAATAAATTTATGCCTATTCACGATTGTATAAGAAAACACGTACTAGAAGTAAAATAAACAAAATAATAAAATATTAACATAAGAACAATGTTCTCCATTATAAGTTATATTCAACTAGCATCATTGAACTGACTACCCATATAGAGTGATTGATACGTGATATATGTATATATATTCACAAGTGTATCGTCTTATTCATTACCTTCCTTATAAACCTAATCTACTATTCCGTTTTTTATGTAATAAACTATGAAATGAATTGTACTGATGTTGGGTTTTTTTCAGAAAAAGTAAGAAGGATAAAATGTTTAGACATTTATCTATTTATCAGAAGGGGTTTTTATGCATATAATAGTAATTTCAAAAGTTGAGATTATGAGTCTATTGAAGCCAGACCACCATGGAAAACCTAGAAGCACTGGACGACCGTTTTGTCCTATTGTGGGAATCCTCATTGACAGTGCGCATCCATGATCCCGCCTTGAAGGAGTTGAAACCCAGAACTTATCAGCCTCGTGCGCGAGAGCTATACCTCTAGGCCACTGAGCTGGAATCCAACGGTGGCAATGTTTAACTTAAACCGATCCACGAAATTGAGCAACACATCAACCATTGTCCTCAGTGAGATACTATCTCACAACAGGCCTGGTTGAACTTCACTGGTCACTGCTTCTCACTAGAACTCCAGGAAATACCTCTTGAAGCCAGTTACTAATGAGCATATGTTGATTGATATCAGAAGGGATTTTTTGTGGATATTATAGTAATTTTGTCAGTTGAGATCATGAGTCAATTGAAGTTAAACTACCATGGAAAACCTGGAAGCACTGGATTTGGATGCGGACTGCTGAGGAGTCTCACAATAGGACGAAACGGTTGTACAGTGCTTCCGGGTTTTCCATGTGGTGAGGAAGTTAAATCTTCAGAACTCACTTGGTAAATAACTTATTTTTGTAAATTTATATTGAAAATTTGAATTTCTTTGTTTCACGCCAAAAGCTCTCCTTTCACCTTCGAGTCGTATTTTCCACTTGGAAATATCTTAAACGCTATTAGTCCGTTGTATCTTTTTAGTGTGCTATTTTGTAATGCTTTTCAAGGACAATTTTACGCTGTATATACACGTTCGATTCCTTCCTATTGTGATTGCTTGTACTTTGGCTGCTTACGGAATATATTTTCCTCTACTTCATCTTGGACTTCTGAACCTAGTTAGCGGGTCCTGGGACAATGGATTAGAATCGCCTATCGTGTCACTGTTTCATTGACTTTTGTTCCGTTTACCGAGTAAGGAGAAATCGTAATTAGCATTAAACATATCACCATAGTTGTCTAGCTTCAATTGACTCATGATCTTAACTATCAAAATGTATCTATTTCTTTCTTGTTTATTATTACTATTCTTCAATTTTGTTTATTTAGAATGATTAATAGAAACTACACTAGAAGGAATCATTCAGAAACTTTAGATAAGCTTCATCAGAATTTAAACTTTACAATGAAAAATAACTTGAATACGGAATATCCACAAACTGTTATCAATGCAAGAGAATCTGTACATTTACACGTAGAGTATTATTTTCAAAATAGTAAGTTTATTTATTTATTTATTTGAACACATGAATATTGATACAAAGGGGTGCTGAATACATATGCGCTACATAGGTCACTTGATTTGAGTTGGGGCTGGGTTACTGCCCAATTGCCCAGACGGAAGCGGGTGGTTTTATTAGGAGGACACTCCTCGAGCCTTTTACCTAAAGGTCTAGTCCACAAGGCAGTGGAGCAACGTAGGGAGATGCAGTCCCATGGTGGCCGATGACCAACAATTGGTACACAAGCTATTTGTTCACTCTGGACCTTGGGGTCCATGTGCACCAATGGTTTGGAATCAGGGTATTCCAACTCCCCTTGGTAGACTTTCCGTGTCCATCAATCTGGTTAAAGAACTGGACATTCACTTTTCATCCTCTGAATTTTTTAGACAACACCCCTCATATGAGAAGGCAGTGAGTAGAACTTACATGGTAGGAGCTGTATACGCTTGGCTATGTCAGAGCATTTCAAGAAGGAGAGCTGATTCTCTTCATCCTTGACCGTACCAGGGCATTTGGGGGCAAAATAGTCAGTGTTTATTATTTATGCATAAACATATTTCTACTATGAGAATTTCATAGATCATTATACTGCATACTTAAAAATAATTTATTCAAGGATTCTAACTTGATAACTGAGTTAGGCATTGAATTACAAATTCAATACAGCTGATGTTACTAAATATAGGGCCTAAACAGTACATGTTTAAAAACTTCGAAACGTGAAATATCCAGTTATTATCAGCAGGGGTTTTGTGGTGATTTAGTATTTTCATAGTTGCAAGCGTCGTGGATGCGCACTGCTGAGGAGTCCCACAATAGGCTTTCCATGGTGGTCTAGCTTCAATTGACTCACGCTTGCAACTATGAAAATGTCCAGTTGTTAATTACGTTGGCAAACACTAAATCAGTGGGGAAGTGGGTCTTTTAAATATTTGAATATGATTAAAATTAAAATGTTTATTTTATCATAGAAAACAGAACTTGGATGTATCATGTGGAAATAATATGTAGTTTGCTGTGATATGAAATTGCCAAAAATGACAGTATACAAATCATATAGTTGAACATGACTCAAACTACTAAGTATGTATGAGTAGTATAATATTGAAGTATTTTAAAAGCGACTGTTAAAACTAAGAAAAGATTCACACATTTTAAGTGAATGGATGTGCTAAATTTTAAGTATAGAATTTTCGTGAGAGGATTTTTGCAGTTGTACGATTGTCGTTGAAACCAATTACAACAGTGTATGATTGTATTCAGATAGGATTCTTCAAGGTTGCTAATATGATCTTATGATCAGTGCCATATGAATGTTACTCATAGTAGTAACTTAAATACAAAATTAATCCATAGGATTTAATCAACACACTGAACTGGAGAATATGACATTGATTAGTTTACGATGGCTAACTATTGTTTTTAGTGAATTCAGATCTTCCGATCTGGGTAATTTGGTCGTCCAGCTTTCATTGTCTTTATAGGTGATACCAAAACATGATTGAAAATTTGCGAGAGCTGATAACCTATAATAGGTTAAAACTGGAGTTGTTCAGTTTCCTAATCTGAGACGTTATCACTGAGCTTTTCAGGACTCAACTCACAACCTATAAAACTTAAATATTTATGGCTGATTTTTAAAATGAGTAATTTAATTTTTAAAAGTTTAAACAGGCACTTATAAAACTTGAATTAACAATAATGATACTATCGAAAGTTATTGAAATACTTTTAAACGAACAAATAGAGACGAAGATAGCAAATGTAGCAGAAGCCTCTGCATCAATAGGCCTCCACATTCACAAAGGAAAAAGCAAGATTCTCAAATATAAAACGGAGAACACCAACCCAATCACACTTGATGGCGAAACTCTGGAAAATGTGGAAACATTCACGTAACTGGGAAGCATCACTGATAAACAAGGAGAATCGGATGCACATGTAAAGGCGAGGATTGGCAAAGCAAGGGCAGCATTTTTACAATTGAAGAATATATGGAACTCAAAACAACCGTCAACTAATTTTGAAGTGAGAATCTTTAATACGAATGTCAAGGCAGTCCTACTGTACGGAGCTGAAACGCGGAGAACTACTGTATCCATCGTCAAGAAGGTACAAGTATTTATAGACAGTTGTCTACGCAATATACTCAACATTCACTGAACGGATACCATCAGCAACAGAGTAATTTGGGAGAGGACAAACCAGATTCCATATGAACAGGAAATTAAGAAAGCACGTTTGAAGTGGATGGGACATACATTAAGGAAATCACCAAACTGAATCACGAGGCGATTTCTGACTTGGAATCCGAAAGGGAAGCTGAAAAGAGGAAGGCCAAGGAACACATTACGCCGGGTAATAGAAGAAGATATGAAAAGGATGAATGTTAAGTGGAAAGAACTGGAAAGGATTGTCCAGGACAGAGGTGGATGGAGAATACTGATGAGCAGCCTATGCTCCTTCACGAGGGGTAACAGGCGTATGTAAATAAGTAAGCAAAACTGATTATAAGTTATTTTTCAATCATAAACTTTATGGTATTGCCGATGTAATCATAGAAAGAACTAAAACCGAATATATTTAAGGATTTCACTTATCAATACCATATCCTTTACTTAATAGATTCGTATACATATATTAGTATTGAACAATGTTCAATAAGTCAAACATCACCGTTTGTAAAATCAGATGAAATTATATTTGTACGTAAAAAGTAAGTATTTTGAATTATAATTATTAATATTATCAGAAGGGTTTTTGTGGAGATTTAGTATTTTCATAGTTGAAAGCGTGAGTCAATTGAAGCTAGATCACCAGGGAAAACCTGAAAGCACTGGACGGCCATTTTGTCCAATTATGGGACTCCTCAGCAGTACGCATCCACGACCTCGTCTCGCGAGGTAGGTCCTGGGTCCGAATCTCGTGAGGCGGGATCGTGGATGCGCACTGCTGAGGAGTCCTATAATAGGACGAAACGATCGTCCAGTATTTCCAGGTTTTCCCTGGTGATCTAGCTTCAATTGGCTCACGCTTTCAACCATGAATATACTTATCTGTTTAATTTCGTTAATCAAACCTTTTTTTCTACTGAACGAATGGCGCATTGCATCGTACTCAATATTGACTGAATGGTTCAGTACTGTTGTACTACTTATTACTTATAGTCAGTATTTCAGAAATAGTTTCTAGCTCCTCAAGTTTGTGAATAATATTTACTCATAACCACTAAAAGGCATGAAATAAAGATTGAATACTGATTGTCTTATTAATAGCTTTCAGTTAACTTATGTACGATTTATCTTCCATATGACCAAAAGACAATGTTTTGAAGGTGTGAAAAATTCTGTATATATTGAATCATCCGTCGTTGACTGCACCATTCGTTTCAGTCGCTCTCATTCATACGCATTTCTCTTCAACTCTTATCGTTCGCCTGCATCATCGAATGTCTGAAATATACATTCCTCAAATATTTTTATGTAGGATATATATTTTATTTGACATTAGTATCACTCAATCAAATGTAGAGTCCTAGACTGGAAATACTCTCTGAAATAAGTTAATTGGCTCAGTAAAGGGAGATGTATTCAGGGAATTTGATTTCAGTAATTGTAATAATTGTGGCCAATCACCCGATCATTTGGTTGTTTTTACTAAACTATCATCAGCTTTTTTGGGAGGAAATCATTTCACCGAATGTTTATTTATATGGAGCAATATTCTATGTTCTTTCCTTTAGTTGTCTAATATATTCACCTGAAAGTATCAACGAAATTAAATTCCATTCAAATGATTTATCAACATATGGAAACTTTACCATTCCACTGAATAAATATACTTCAGTCAGCAGTATGAAGTCATTGACAGAAGCCGATTCATCTCAATTGAATTCTGATCTAATGGGAAATGATTCAAACAAAAATTTTACAGTCACATCAGAACTACATATAAATTGTGTATTTCGTGTTTGCCAACATATCAGATGGTGTGTATGGGTAAGTAACTCATAGATAATTGACTAAACAGGTTCTTTATTTTAACAACGTCACAAACTGATCCAAGTTAGAGAACCACTGAAGATCTGGAAGCACTGGACAACCAATCCCCTACAGCATGGAAATCCACAGAAGTGCACATTCACAAACACATAATCAAGAACCGACATCACCCACCACCAGTCGTTAAGTCTCTAGACCATTGAACTGTCATCTAATGGTGAAGAAGTCTAACTTAATTCAAACTATGATATTGCTCTACCATCTTATATTTTGTGGAGCTGATAAATATCTTACATTTGATATGAAAAGAACTTCATTGGTTATAGCTTAGATCGGTTCGTGATTTTATTAACTTTCGTATCGTTTTTCTATTCATATTTAAAGTTATAGTAGTTAATCTGCGCGTATCTGTGTGTATCTAATATAGTAATGTATACACCTGAACATAATTTTTCAGTAGCTGAGTGGATAACGCGATGGCGTTTGAAGCGAACGGTACTGGGTTCGAGTCCCAGGGTGAACATCAACTCAGATGCAGGTACATCCAGCTGACGAGTCCCAAATAGGACTCGACATGCATCCTGGATTCGACTGCTAGCCACTACCCATCTTTGCTTATAATTATTTGTGACCTAAAACAAAAACTGTACCGACAGGTTTTACTTACTCATTTCACTAGATTCTTCTAGTCGGAAAATTCAGTGGAAACAATAACAAATTATAGCTGATAAATGATTTGAAATAGGTGTAAATGACCGAATAGCAAGCTATTCTTATTCCTACACCATAGGTACTTGTGAATACAATGGAGATTGTATTCATTTTCTTAAAATAACTAAGATGTTTTTTCATTGTCAATCGCCTTCTCTGATATCATCTTAATACTTAACATTCGAAATAAGCATTACAGTGATTTTTCACTGAGCACCTCATTGAAGTAACTGAGCAAAGAAGTATACAAATGAAAAAAACCCACCAAAGACCGGATGGACTATTGATGTAATGAACAAGAACACTTGTGGGGACAATCGAATGTATTTGACGAGAAAATTACAGACTACCTCACTAAATTCTGATAACCATACAATGAACAATTAATTTGCGAAATAACAATCAATTATCTCAATCTTCACTGTTCCTTCTGGAAATATCAGTCCATCATCTCTAATTTCATTGTTTATGCATTTTCCTACCGATTGCGCTTCATTTCAGTTCCTTCCTTATCGGTCTTCTGCCAAAATACATTCCATGTCTGACCAACACCTTATACTACTTATATGGACATAAGTAGACCACACTACATATATAAAATTGTTAGGATATTCACAAGAATATCCCAAAAATTATCTCGAGTGTAAAGTGGTATGTTTTCAGACTCTTCACATAATTTGCATGTTATTTCCTATTGGCCATTATTTACAGTTGTCCTAACTATGACTTTCATGTGTCGTTTCCCTATTGGTCAATTTTGAGTTGTCCTAATTATAACCTTTATGTGTCCTTCCTTTCCATTGGTTACTGCTAATAGTATAAATATGTCTTGTCTGTAAACCATTTTTATTCTGCTGCTGACCCCATAAACAATTCTCATTTGACGGCTGTGTTCTGATTTATTGGAGTTGGGTAACAGTATTGGGGTCGAACTAGGATATTTGAATTTGGTCAACCGGTAGAATTTCGTGTAGTCTTATCGCAATACGCAATATTTAGCAACGCTATATTTCGCGAAGTAATATTTTGGCGAATTTATAACAAAAATGACCACAGCTAAGTAATTCCTATTCCAATATACACTATAATTTAATAAAGTATCGACAAAAGGGAAGGAAAACCAATGAATCTCTAACTTACATCTTAAAAAGAAAAACATATTTATTCAATACAAAACATTGGTGATATTTGATTACTGGCTAGCAGTGGAATCCGGAACGTGCATTTCGTTCAATTTGGGATTTTGACTAAATAGTACTATCGAAGCAATCAGTTTAGAAACTATCTTTGATAGTACAGGTTGACCGATACATATATACATACAGTTATCGCAAAATATAACTATGAAAATGATTGACTAACTCATCATGTCTTTACTTTGTAAGCAAATATTCGAAGCATACATCAATATAAAGAAATTGTTATACATGGAGGAGATTAATGATATTAATTATTCTGAGATAGATAATTGACTCAAGAAACCTTCATTATGCTCGTGAACAATATCAGGAAAGTCTAATTCACTTATGAAAAAAGTTAATCAGCCATGACCAGAAGTTGACCTAACAAGAAAGTTGAAGACAAATAGTACTAAATAAAATTTTCATAGTTGAAATCATGAGTCATTTGAGGCTAGACCATCATGGAAAAACTGGAAGAACTGGACGGCCGTTTCATCCCATTCAGGGACTCCTCGACAGTGCGCATCCACGATCCCGCACTCGCGATATTCGAACCCGCGCGACACTGGTAGGTCCTGGGTTGAAATCTCGCGAATGCGGGATTGTGGATGTGCACTGTTGAGGAGTACAGTGCTTCCAGGTTTTCCATAGTGGTCTAGCTCCTATTGACTAATGATTTCAACTATAAAAATACTAAATCTCCACAAAACCCCTTCTGATCTACAAATAATATTACCAGAACAAATTGATCCAAGGCTTGTTGAAAGATGCTAGAAAAACAGCCAGATTACAATTTATGGAAAAAGCAATCAAATTTAAGATGACAACTCTTGGATTTGAGAGCAAAATCCATTCATTTAGATGTAAAGATAAACTTTACTCTCATCAGCAATTTTGACTAAGCACCTGACAACTAACCAAAATGAGGCAGGAATTATTACTTACACTACCGTAATCCATGATGGAGGGTTTATTTTGTTCTCCCTCGCTTTTGCTAGTCTAAATGAAAACTATAAAGTTTCCTATGACGAAAATAACACTTCATCATACTATGAACACACAATCAGTAATGATGGGGAAATGATTGCAAAATAGAAAAAGTCATACCTCTTAATAATTCTATGATGAATATCGTTTCCAAATATCTTAAACTGGGTGACTAAGTAAACAAAAACATAGTCGTATTTACTGACTACGGTACACTTAGATGACTTGACAACATGAAGTACTATAAATGAAGTCAGTTTGTGATGAAAACCTTAACTTTAATTCCTAACCCTAACATTTTGTTGGGGATTTCAAATTCCCAGAATTTACTTGGTAAAAGGCTTAATTTTGTAATTTTATTTTGAAAATTTGAATTTCTTTGTTTTCGCGCCAAAGGCGCTCTCTTCACCTTTAAGTCGTATTTCCCACTTTTAAAATATCTTAAATGCTAATAGTCCGTTGTATCTTTGAGTGTGCTATTTTGTAATGCTGTCCAAGGACAATTTATCGCTATATATATACGTTTGAGTTTTTCCCCTTATGATTCGCTTGTAATTGGCTGCTTACGGCAAATGTATATTCCTCTATTTTGCCTTGGACTTCTTCCTCTAGTTAGCGGGGCCTGGAACGACGAATTAGATTAGCTTATCGTGTCACTATGTCATTGTCCTAAGTTCGTTTACCGAGAAAATCGAATGAACTCGTGCATATCACATTTAACTCTAAATCACGATTCCGATTGCTCTTACTAATTTATAACACTCTTCTAATCCTAGTAAGTAGGTAAGTGTTCTCAAGGTCACTTCAGTACCAATATATATATAACATTACTGAATCCTTTTACTTCTAATATTTTCATTCTACAGCCTTCTTATTGTAATGGTCATATGAGATCGTTAGATCATGATCTGAATCAATCAGATTTATCGTGGAGCTATACGTATCCATCGATATTAACGTTAACGAAATCATTGAAAATTAAAATTCCCAACTCTAATTCAATATCTCCTTCATTATATTCTTCTTCTCATTCTCCTGCATTTAAACAGAATAAAAGTATAAGTAAGTTTAATATTTCTCAAGTATTTGTTTCTGTTTTGTAATTATCCATTTTGATGATCCAGTTGTGTATATGTTTAATTTTAATGAAGATATAATACTGTATTCACTACTGACTAGTTGATGGATGTAAGTCGTGGAGTTTAAGTGTGAAGCCATGATCAATGAATTTTAGTTTATGTTGCTTACTTACATACCTTCGCCGGTTACCCCCAATGGAGCATAGACCGACGACCAGCATTCTCAAACCCACTCTGTCCTGGACCTTCTTTTCCAGTTCTATCCAACTTTTGTTCATTCTTTTCATGTCTGTTTCCATTTCTCGGCGCAATGTGTTCTTTGGTCTTCCTCTTCTCCTTTGATCTTCAGAATTCCATGTGAGGGCTTGTCTTGTGAAGCAGTTGGCGGCCTTCTTAAATGTGTGTCCTATCCACTTCTAACGCTTCTTCCTGATTTATTCCTCCGCTGAAGTCCGGTTTGTTCTCTCCCACAATAGGTTGTTGCTGATAGTGTTTGGCCAACGGATCCGAAGTAGACGGCAGTTAATAAACACCTATATCTTATGGATGATAGCTTTCGTAGTTCTCCACGTCTCTATCCTATACAATAGAACTGTCTTGACATTTGTATTGAAAATTCTGATCTTGGTGTTGGTTGTAAATCGTGGAGTTATAGTGTGAAGCCATGATCAATGAAGTTTAGTTTATGTTAGATGTAAGATATTTATCCGCTCCATGAAATATAAGATGGTAGGGCAATGTCGTGGTTTGAATAAAGTCAAGCTTGTTCACCATTAAATGTCAGCTTAATTATCTTGAGACTGAACGTTTTCGTATGAGATCGAAGTTGCTGATGTTAGTTCTTGATCATGTGTTTGTGAATGTGCACTTCTGTGGAGTTCTATATTGTAGCGGAATGGTTGTCCAGTGCTTCTGCGTTTGTAATGGTTATCTCACTACAGTCAACTACACATATGAAGTGATACTGTTTCATGTTAAGATGAAGAAAAGAGAACTATGGAAACTTGGGATTTTTTAAATTGTCAAGTTCTCTGAACTGGATGGTTTAATTACTGAGCTTTCACTGTTATCTTGAACAATATCATCAGCGCTTATTTCATGTAATAGTAAGCCTTTTAGTTATTTGACCTATTCTTTCATAAATGAATTTGTATATTGTTAATGAATATACTCAAAATAAATTTTCCACTATGTATTCAGAAACCGTAATTATAAGCTCCCATTTAATCCTTTATATGTTGTTATACTGTATTGAGTAAAAGACCTCATTATATTTCCTTCCATTCATTTGATCAACTGTTACTTACTTACTCACTTACTTACTTACTTACTTACTTACACTTGTTACTCAATGGAGTATAGGCCGCCGATCAGCATTCTTAAACCCAATCTGTTCTGGGCCTTCCTTTCTAATTCTATCCAACTTTTGTTCATTCTTCTCATGTCTACATCCATTTCTCGGCGTAAATTGTTCTTTAGTCTTCCTCTTCTTCTTTAACCTTCAGGATTCCATGTAAGGGTTTGTCTTATGACGCAGCTGGGTACTTTCCTCAATGTGCTAACCAAGAAAAAATTGATCAACTATCACTGAATATTAATGAAATAGACTACTTACAAATTATAAGTAATAACAATGATAAACAATTTTTAATTTACTTAGCGTTACTTGTTTGAATCTTCCCATTGATGTTTAGGACTGCAACTGGTCAGTATCTTATTAGCATATGTGCATACTGTGAGTATTGCCTCAATATAGCCTTAATTCACAAGCACTTTAAGAGACTGTCCAGTTGCAGTCCTAAGCATCAATGGGAAGATTCAAATAAACAATACTAAGTGAATTTAAACTTCACCCCATTGCACAAGCAAGTGGCTATCAGGATTCAGTAGATAAGTGGATAACGCGATAGCATTTGAAGCGAAAGGTAATGGGTTCGAGTGCCGAAGTGATCATTATCTGTGATATGCAGGTACATCCAGTTGATGAGTCCTGAATAGGACTCGACGCGCGTCATACTGGATTCCACCGCTCGCCACTATCCGTCTTCAATTACAATGTTTAATTTATATTTCTCTTTCTTTTTATAGATTCTATTTGTGAACCTAATAATATTTTTATCAAATTCTCTACACATTTTATGATTTTCATCATCTGTATAGTAATTGGGATCATTTTTACAATGTTCTACTATCATTATAATTCTTTGACATGTCAAACTCCCAATAATCAGTTTTGCCGAACATTCCACCCATCTAATCATAAAAAATGTACTAATAATCAATGTGTTACATATAATTTATGTAGTAATCCTTTAAATACTAAAGTTTTACAATCCCCTGTTGATAAAGCTGATACCAGTGATCATTCTTTGAATAGTATACTTCAAGAAAACTTTCACCAACTTCATCAATATTCTTCATTGAAATATCTTGAATCAAATTGTTCAATGATAACTCAACATGATCTAATTCATCATAAAAAGGATTATCCAGATCATGATCAATTTGATTTGAATAAAAACTATAAACTCAGATTATCTTCATCAACCGATTTACAACAGCAACAACAACAGTGGCAACAACAAAAAAGCACTTTAGTTCCTTATTGTTTACATAATCAAACTTTATATTTTCTTCAATCAGATTGGAATAATATTGATAAGCAAGAAAATTCTTTTAAATCTATAAATACTACTGATTATACTTATTTTAATAATCATTTTTATGATTTATCAAATAGTGTCAAAGTTAAGACGGATTTATGTAATCATAATTATGATGAACAAGAATTCAATGTTTAAAAAGAAAATAGATTGTTTTGTATGTATACAGATAGAAAGGTTGAATAAACGAATGATGATTGTGATTTATGACGAACTACTTGTTTGTTTGTTTGTTTGTGTTATATCTAAAGCTTGATTCTTGGTATACCACGTACTACTAGACTATTTAAACGATCGAACCCGCAACGTCGTATAGAGAGAAGACAGAAGACTAGTTAGTAGGAATGTTATTCTCCAAACAGTGTCAAATATAGTACAAACATTTCATGTATTTATAGTTTTTTGACTGAAAGTAAATCATCATTTCGGACAGCCAATAGGGAAGCTACACGTCGACATTGTAGAATGTTCCCATAGTGGTGATTGGATGGAATGTCTTCAGCTCTTTCTAGGCTTCTTGAGGCTTCCTTGAGTTTGTTAACGAACCATCCTTACAGTTTGTTTTGGACATCGTTCTGTAGTATGTGAGTATGAAAGTATTATCCATTATTATTTTATTAGTCTTGTTATGACTTTTACCTGGCTGATTATCATGTGATATCATTACCAATCAGAATACGATCTACACAATCTATAAACTGTGCCACAAAAATGACGCATGACCAGCCTAGTGTCCTTATTGAAGTTTATGCTGACTAGTCCTGTCTGTCTGACTAGTCCAGACTTTCAATAACAGCTCTCAACATATAAATCGTATACTTGAGACAATTGGTTCATATATAAGTTAACTAGACCATATCATTCCATAAAATAATGAACAAATAATGATCAAGCCAAAAAGAGGCTGTGATTGTGAGAGACTGTATTTAGTAAATTGGGAGTAACTTAAGAATAGTACACCATATAATAGTATTAAATAGGTCAAATAAAAGTTTATAATAAGAGGAATATAAATATACATAATCTATTTACTCAATTGTTATAAAATTACCTGCTTTCTTACGCGTAGTACCTCTCGTGGATGAACATAGATTGATCATCAGCATTCTCCAACTGTAGCTCTTCTAGAGTTACTGCCGATCCCAAGCCCCATGCAAAGGAGGAGGTTTAGCTCAAAAGTATAATAGTTAAAATTTATAGCAGTTTAATTTGGTGAATATTCAACCAATATTCAATCATGATCTTTAGATTATGATTACTTAACATGAAAGATAAGGACAGTCAAAATAAACATTTCATGCAAGCAATAGTGACTGAATTCTCATTGGTCATTGATAGTAAATACGTTTTACAATCTGGAATATTTTGCCCATGAAAATTTCTATTTGAAAACATAACTGTGTAAAATTAAGGTTTCAGCTGACAGATCGAAATCTAGATTAAGTAGTAATGTAATGAACAAGAAAACGAATAGGGACAATCGAATGTATTTGACACGAAAATTACAGACTATCTCACTAAAATCTGACATTTATACAGTGAATAGTTAATTTGTAAACTATCAATCAATTGTCTCAATCTTGACTGTTTCTTATTTAAATATCAGTCCGTACTTACGCCTGTTACCCCTCATGGAGGAGCATAGGCCTCTCATTAGCATTCTCTATCCAGCCCTATCCTGAACAATCCTTTCCAGTTCGTTTCAGTTGTTATTCATCCTTTTCATGTCTGCTTCCAATTACCAATGTACTGTGTTCTTTTGCCTTCCCTTCACGATTTCAAGTTGGCGCTTGCCTCATGATGCAGTTTGGTGATTTCTTTAATGTATGTCCTATTCACTTCCAACGTCTTTTCCTAATTTCCCTCTCAATTGGAAGCTAGCTTATTTTCTCCCATAGTAGGTTGTTGCTGATGGTATCCGAACAACAGACATTCAGTATCTTGATTAGACAATTGTTTAAAAATACCTGTACCATTTTGATGATGGTTGTAGTAGCTGTCCAGGTTGCAGCTCCGTACAGTAAGACTGTCTTGATGTTCATATTGAAGATTTTGACTTTGATATTGGTTGACAATTGTTTTGAATGCCTTACGTTCCTCAATTGTAGGAATGCGGCCTTTGCTTTGCTAGTCCTCACCTTTACGTCTGTACCAGAACCTCCTTGTTTATCAATGATGCTGACCAGGTACGTTAAAGATTCCACATCTTCCAGGGCTTTTCCATCGAATGTGATTGAGTTGGTGTTCTGCGTATTGTATTTGAGGATCTTGTTTTATCATTCGTGTATGTTGAGTCCTACGGATGCAGAGTAACTAACTAACTAACTAACTAACTAACTTTTTATTCATTATCATATGATCAACTTTGATGTTTATTTGAGTCACATTTCATAAATATACCAATCCATTGGTTACTTTTGTGTCAATTATTGATTATCGATTTGTAAAAAATGATTAAATTTTATCTAAACATTAAGATTAGATCAGAAGACGTTTTGTGGAGATTTCAGTATTTTCATAGTTAAAATCATGAGTCAATGGAAGCTAGACCACTATGGAAAACCTTGAATCACTGTACGGCTGTTTCGTCCTATTATGGTACTTCTCAGCAGTGCACATCCACGATCCCGCCTCGCGTGCCAGATTCAAACGCAGGATCTACCAGGAATAATAAAATCATTTCAAATAAATTGTTTTACTGAACACATTGAAATTACTCACTAGAGATAGTGTGGTTTTCATTCATTCATTTATATCCCTTATCACATTAGACATTTGGGGTAAACTTTATTTTAATGTGATGTTGGAAAACATTTCTATCATTGAGTTTTATGAATCTGGAGACTAATTTTATCGAGACCTAAAATCGATTTATCCAGTCTAATCGTCATTGGAAAAATATGATCGATAATAATCAGTCAATAATAAACTTTAGAAAAAAAAATGATTCCTTTACTTACTCGAATGTTCTAGAGATCTGAGTATTCACATACAGATTATTAATCGACATTGAAGGATAATATCCTTTTGGGAATGAAAAAGTGGATTATACTTATCTCAGAAGAGAGAAAAGTAGAAGAGTAAGTTTTCTTGTTATGAATACAACTTCATACATATACACTTCTCATAAGTTTTTAGAATATTTAATGACTCAAACCCTGTTGGTCCAATTCTTATCAGATTATGAGATACTACTGAGTGGCCGAGTGGATAACGCGGATGGCGTTTGAAGCGAAAGGTACTGGGTTCGAGTCACAGAGTGAACATCAACAAGTCTGAGATGCAGGTACATCCAGCTGAAGAGTCCCGAATAGAACGAAACGCGCGTCAAACTGGATTCCACTACTAGCTACTATCCATCTTCGCTAAACATTTTTAATTCATGGGTAAATATATTTTAGATTAAAATTAAATATGAAAGCGATAGACAAGCAATGTGAAACAAGGTTTCATTCAATCATCAATCGACAAGCAAACAAATAAATATACATTTCTTGGAGTACTACGAAGAGTTCAAGTGTACATCCAATTAAGAACTCTACATAATTTATAAATTACAATTTAAGAATTTTATTTTTTGGATTGGTTGTTTGAATCTTCCCATTAATGTTTAGGATTGAAATTGATCAGTCTCTTATGGGCATATGGGCATTCTGTGCGGATTGCTTCGATGTTGCCTTCAATCACAAGCATTATAAGTAGAGATGTATGAGGGACAGCACTAGAATCCAGGATTTGTCTTTCTTTCTATTCACAACTCATCAGCTGGACGTGAATGGCTATCTGGACCCATTAGCTAAGTGGATAACGCGGTGGCTTTTGAAGAGAACGATACTGGTTTCGAGTCACAGAGTGAACGTCAACTCTGAGATGCAGGTACATCCAGCTGACGAGTACCAAATAGAACAAGAAATGAGTCCTGGATTCCACTACAATCTGCCATACATCTCTGCTTATAAATATGCTTATTAGTTTGTCAGACATTACTTAGCAAAGAAAATGGTTAAAGTTGAAACTATAGCAAGCTTTCATGAAATCCATCTCTCAGTAAATGAATTACTCATAACCTAGGCAACTCAAAACCAGCTTTAACAAATCGCACATCATATTATACTATCTAATATTTAATTTATGACTTTCTTGTGATTAAAGGACATTTAAATAACTAATTAGTTCAATTTCGTAATTCATAGCTAGTAATTAATCATTATAGGTTATGTAGCTGAAATCATGAGTCAATTGAAGCTAGACCACTATAGAAAACTTGGAAGCACTGGACGGCCGTTTCGTTCTGTTACGGGACTCCTCAGCAGTGCGCATCCATGATCCCGTCTCACGAGTTCCGAACCCAGGACCTACCACAATAGGACGAAACGGCCTTCCAGTGCCTCCAGGTTTCCCATGGTGATATAGCTTCAACTGACTCATGATCTCAACTATATAAAATTACTAAAATCTCCATAAAACCCCCTCTGATAATTTTCATAAGAGTGGATTTTTTTTACAATATACAATCTTAAAATTTATTTAAAGCTATATATTATGACTTTACAAAATAAATAAAGGACGTATGCGATTTCGTTATTGATTTTTACGTCCAGCTTTTATCACGTGAATTATCCACCAATCGAAATACGACTTTTCCAATCTTAACACTGTGACAAGTCAATGAAGTTCGACCAGTATGAGTAGTCTAGCGTCCTTAATGGTTCTTTATCCGTCTAACCCTTCCAGTTGAGTCCAGAACACCAATTACAGCTTCTGTTATGCGAATCATTTGTTTCAAGCATAGTTGATTTATATACCAGACAGACAGACAGAATCTTATCATAAAATAGAAAATAATATTTGTACAAGATCAAGCCAAGAAGTGGCTGTGAACGTGGGATACAGTAATCAATAAACTGAGTATAATTTGGGAACAGTAAATCGTACAGTAATAATTCATAGGTCCAACTGAAGCTTATAATTAAAAAGAATATAGATATACACAATCTAATTACGCAATAGTTAAACAATAAGAATATATATAGAATAATCGTCCATTAATAGGTCTCGGAAGTCACCTGTACTCATGTTTTCGCTAGGATATAACACTATGCATCTTTTGATATGACTACATTATAATTTATAGTAATGAGTGGAGTTATTTAAAACCTCTAATAAATGAATATGGTGACTAGAATATCAATATAAAGAGCACACAACTAATAATCTCATTTAGGGAGGATACACTATATATATCAAGAAATCAACATTTACACCTACATTAACTGGTAGATTCAAATAAACAATATTAAATGAATTAAAACTTCACACCATTGCACAAGCAAGTGGCTATCAGGACTCAGTAGCTGAGTGGATAACTCGATGGCGTTTGAAGCGAAAGGTACTGGGTTAGAGTCGCAGAGTGAACACCAACTCTGAGATGCAGGTACATCCAGCTGACGAGTCCCAAATAAGACGAAACGCCCGTAAACTGGATTCCACTGCTATCCACTATCCATCTTTGCTTGTAAAGCTTGTGAATTAAGACTATATCGAGGCAATACGCACAGGATGCACATATGCCAATAAGAGACTGATCAATTTCAGCCCTAAACATCAATGGGAAGATTCAAACAAACAATGCTAAATGAATTTACACCTACATTAGTTTCTAATAATAGTATCCAGATGATTGTGAAACAAGCAACTCAATCTGAAATGACCTTGAGCAATTTTGGTGCACAAGCTAAAACCATATGTCAGTTATTTATACAATAAAAGTAGTTTCATACCATTACTATTAATAATGATTAATCGATAAATGGAAACACTAAATCAATCAAATGATTTCTTTTATGATCTTCACTTCATTCCATTAAAACATACCTACACTATCAATACTTATGATAGCAATCCAAATATATGACAAATTTAACAGATGATATCAAAATAAGTAGATAATACTCATAAAAATTCCAATAATACTTCCGTTTATTTTCGAAAAAGCATTAAAAAAAAATAAAGGTAGACAACAATGTAGATACATTTAGTCACCTTTATCATGTATATACACATGTATGTTACTTAATTACTTACTTACGCCTGTTACTCCTAATGGAACATAGGCCGCCGATCAGCATTCTCAAATCCACTCTGCTCTGGACCTTCCTTTCTAGTTTCATCCAACTTTTGTTCATTCTTTTCATTTCTAAATCCGTTTCTCGGAGTAATGTGTATTTTTAGTCTTCCTCTTCTTCTTTGACCTTCAGGATTTCATGTGAGGACTTGCCTTCTGATGCAGTTGGGTGATTTCCTCAATGTATGTATTATCCACTTCGAGCACTTCTTCCTGATTTCTTCCTCCACTCGAAAATAGTTTCTTTTCTCGCACAGTAGTTTGTTGCTGATAGTGTCTGACTAACGGATCCGAAGTATCTTGCGCAGACGATTGTGAATAAACACTTGTATATTCGGGATCATGGCTTTCGTAGTTCTCCAAGTTTCCGCCCCATACAGTAGAACTGTCTTCACATTTGTATTGAAAATTCTGATCTTGGTGTTGGTTGACAATTGTTTTGAGTTCAAGATGTTCTTCAGTCGTGCATATGCTGTTCTTGCTTTACTGATTCACGCCTTCATATCTGCATCAGATCCACCGTGTTCATCAATGTTGCAGCCCAGATATGTAAAGGTCGATCACCAGGAGAAAGAGAAAGAGTGAGAGTAAGCAACCACGTCTGACACCAGTCTTTACCTCGAATGAGTCGATGAGTTGTCCTCCATGAACGATTTGACAGTTTGGTCCATCCTAGGAATTCCGTATGATATTGACTATCTTTTCAGGTATGCCGTAGTGTCGAAGAAGCCTCCGTAGTGTTGTCACACAGGTATGTTAGATTTACTTAAGTTGAATCATTCAAAGGTATTATAAGGTTGTGTATGAGTAATTGGGTTAATACAAAAACCACTCAGTAAATGTATCAGTAATAATGTTAGTTTTGATTGATCATTTAAGTGTATAGAGTGAAGAGAAAATTCATTATCAGCTCTCACGAATAAATTTATTCCAAACATACAGATTGTACGAATGCCCATAAATTCAATCAAATATTTCGGATAGATTAGTTTACTTTTGTTCGAATAATTGGTTAATTATTTACGAGTAACATTATGTACGTTGACAACTTTTACAAGTGATTTATTTCATACTGTATCACTGGAGCATGGTATAAGGCGAGTTTTCAATAACATTCATTTAACTGTCACTAAAAGCGCTATCTACTACTTAAAAGTCTAACGAAACAAACGAAACATCACTACAAAGTAATAAAAATGGTATATTTCATTGATCTTTTGGCAACATAATTCCTGATGCTAACTTAATTGATGATGTAGTTTCCTAGTTCAGAAATGAAACTGAGTTGTGAATAATTCCAATCCCTAAGTTTTACATTTTAAGTAATTTTCAAATTGTCTATTCGCTTCATAGAGTCAAGTATGGATGGTTAGTTAAACAACTATATAATGTTTACTCGGTACTTTTAGTTTGTCCTACTCTTGTCATTAGGCCATAGCAACAAGCGGTCTTAAGTTTCAATTTGGTTCATTTCATTGATTACATGTAAAACCATAACACTATAAATCTTGTGGTAAACACAGAACACTCGATACAAATCAGAGCAATACACTTATGAACAGATCTCTGGATATATATATATATATAGATGATCACGTATACAGTATTTTTGCAACTGGTAAGTCCCATATTAGGATCAAATCCAGGTAGGAGTTTTTATAATAGGACGCTTATTACCAATCAACATGGACAATTTTGTTGCCACTCAGGCAAAAGTGCTATAGATGAGTGAAGCGACCGTCTCAACATTCAGGTCTCATTAAGCTACAGTTTTTGTTCCTAGCAAAGAAAATCTTGCTTCTTAAACCGCTGGTGAAGACTTAACCGTGCCATCATTGGAGATGGTCAGAAACAAAATAACGGAATCTTCCTTGATGGTGTGTCTAGTGCCTCGCTTACTGAGTGTACCACCGTCGGACGAAAGGCCCACACACCTACGTGTTTATGCTTACCGTCGGAATAACCAAACTACTTTCCTTAAGATAAGTTACCGATCAGCAACTGTATTAGTAAACTATCATTGAGATGTGAAACTCTATTGAGAGCCCCACATTTTGGAAGAATCTGAAAACCACCTAGTTGTTGAGATAAATTTATTAGGAATGGGTAACATCTCACAATTATTCAGTATTCTTCTCCATCACCTTCACCTTCACCCTCAACACTATCAACTCCAACTTCTTCATAATCTTTCTCTAAAGCTGCAAGATCTTCACGAGCCTCACTAAACTCGCCTTCTTCCATTCCTTCACCGACATACCAATGGACAAATGCACGTTTTGCATACATCAAGTCAAATTTGTAATCTAAACGGGCCCAGGCTTCTGCAATTGCTGTTGTATTGCTTAGCATACAAACAGCACGTTGCACCTTTGCTAAATCACCACCTGGAACCGCTGTAGGAGGTTGGTAGTTGATCCCAACTTTAAAGCCAGTAGGGCACCAATCAACAAATTGAATTGTCCGTTTTGTCTTAATGGTAGCAATGGCTGCATTCACATCCTTTGGAACAACATCACCACGGTACAACATGCAACAGGACATGTATTTACCACGACGAGGATCACATTTTACCATTTGATTCGCTGGCTCAAAGCAGGCATTAGTAATCTCAGCAACACTAAACTGTTCATGAAATGCTTTTTCAGCTGAAATCACAGGTGAATATGTTGCCAATGGGAAGTGGATACGTGGATAAGGGACCAAATTCGTTTGAAACTCAGTGAGATCAACATTCAAAGCTCCATCAAAACGCAGAGAAGCTGTAATAGAACTCACTATTTGACCAATTAAACGATTTAAGTTCGTGTAAGTTGGACGTTCAATATCTAAATTACGACTGATCATAGGCTAAATATATAAGGTATACAACTTACCGGCATATATCGTATATTGCTTCATTATCAACCATAAATGCACAATCCGAATGTTCCAAAGTTGTATGCGTTGTTAAAATAGAATTGTAAGGTTCAACAACAGCAGTTGCAATTTGTGGAGCAGGGTAAACAGAAAATTCAAGCTTCGATTTCTTTCCATACTCAACACTCAATCGTTCCATCAACAAAGATGTGAAACCTGAACCAGTGCCTCCACCAAATGAATGAAATATCAGAAACCCCTGAAGACCGGTACACTGGTCGGCAAGTTTACGAATCCTATCTAACACCAAATCAACAATTTCTTTCCCAATTGTGTAATGACCACGTGCATAATTGTTTGCAGCATCTTCTTTACCAGTAATCAATTGCTCAGGATGAAAGAGTTGATGATAAGTGCCAGTCCGAACCTCATCTACTACAGTGGGTTCTAAATCTACAAATACTGCTCTTGGAACATGTTTTCCTGAGCCAGTTTCACTAAAAAAAGTATTAAAGGAATCGTCTCCACCCCCAACAGTCTTATCACTCGGCATTCGCCCATCAGCTTGAATTCCATGTTCCAAACAATACAATTCCCAACAAGCATTGCCCATCTGAACTCCAGCTTGACCAACATGTACACTAATACATTCCCTCTGGAAAGCATATATTAGTTGATGGGTCCAAATGAAAACATACCATTCTGAAGCAAGTTGTATTACAGAACAGATAGCAACAAAAAAACCGTGTATGTTTGAGACTGACCAAGTTGACTCAATTATTCTGTTTTTATAGTTGGGTACAGTACCATACTCAGAAATCCTATTGGTTAATTAATATTAAAAAATGTTAATTTTTGATTGGATAATAATTTTTGGAATCATGCCACTTAGTCAACAGAAATACTATTTTGTTTCTGATTGGTTAATAATTTAGTTTGTCTGTGATGGTGGTGTTGGGGATGTAATTTTTGGCATACATTCGAGATGATCAACATAATTTGTATTTATATCTTTACCATGTTATTGAGATACTTTATAAAATATCGATTTTAAATATAAATATGAGCTTTCATTTAATATCCATTAACTTGAGTACTTTCTTTTTTAAGATCAAATTAAATGTAAAAAAATTATTTATTTATTATTTAATTATCATAGTGAAAGTATGTAGAAGTTTGGAGATGAATAACCAGATTCATGATATTTGAATTAATTGGTATCAAAGACATTTTGTAAGGAGTAGCCTACCAATAATTTCAAATAACTGGTTCAATTTTGTATTTTTATATATTTGAAATCAGGAGTCAATTGAAGCTAGACAATTATGAAAAACCTGGAAGCACTGGACGGCCGTTTCGTTCTATTGTGGGACTCCTTAGCAGTGCGCATCCATGACCCCACCTCGCGAGATATCTTTTTTTGATGATGTAACAGCATAAAAAATGTCGAATTTATTTCTCGAAATCCATCCAAATTATATGACCTTTCAACCCATATTAATTTGATAAACTTTAACATCCACGATCCCGCACCCGCGAGATTCGAACCCAGGACCTACCAGTCTCGAGCCGAAGCCCTTAACCCTCAAATGTGAAAATACTAAAATTCTCCACAAAACCCCCTCTGATCTATAATCATATGCTCACTAGTGACTGACTTCAAGAGATATTTCCTTAAGTTCTAGTGGGAAGCAGTGGCCAGTGGAGTTCAATCAGGTCTGTTGTAGAGATATCATCTCACTGAAGAAAATTGGTGAACGGTCGCTCAAAATCGTGGATTGGTTGAAGTTAGACATTAACACCGTTGGATGCCAGCTCAGTGGTCTATCGGTTAAGGGCTTCGGCTCGAGACTGGTAGGTCCTGGGTTCGAATCTCGCTCGCGAGAGCGGGTTCGTGGATGCGCACTGCTGAGGAGTCCCATAACAGGACGAAACGGCCGTCCAGTGCTTCCAGGTTTTCGATGGTGGTCTAGCTTCAATTGACTCATGATTTCAACTGTGAAAATACTAAAGTTCTCCACAAAACCCCCTCTAAACTTTAACATTACAAATTATAATATGTTGTTTGGGAAATAATTATACACTGTATAAGTTAACAATAGTCTTAGGTTAAATCAAGACAATAGTTTATCTTCTTCAGTTATAAAAATAAAATCCGTGAGTTTGGAGATTTAGTTCGTTTGTTATTTAAGTAATCAGCATTTAGGACAAACTCGAATATCTTTAAATCAGATATATTTTCAACAGATTAGAAAGTATGATGAGTTTTCCAGTAGAGGTTGTCAATAAATGTATTTAGCAAATTGTATTTCAGACACAAATACAGGCCACACTCAGTGTAGTGAATGAGAACACCAGTGGGGACAATCGAAGGTATTTAAGCACAAACTACAGACTATCTCACTAAATTCTAATAACCATACAGTCAACAGTCAATTTGCAAAATAACAACAAATTGTCTTAATCTTCACTTTTCCTTTTTGGAAATATTAGTCCGTCTTCTCGGATTTCATTGTTCATACATTTTCGTACAGATTGCGCTTCATTCCTATTTTTTTCCTTATCGATATTCTGCCAAAATACATTCTATACCCGACCATCTCCATATACTACTAATATGGATATAGGTAGACCACACCACATCAGATGTATTAAATCTTTGAACATTTATCTTACAAATGTACATTTTTCTGTTTGTCTTTAAACTGATTATCAAAATACACCTCATTCACACATGTAATCAAATGTTCACACAAAAATACCATCCTGTACATCTTTAACTTAAATTATGGAGTAAACGGCTATTTGTGAGTACTTGCAACAAATCAATACAGTTATGCTTAATCTTAACTGAAACATTGTAGGTTTGTCTTTAGTTTTTTTCAGTGTCACGTGGTCTACTAGCTTTTTAGAAGAAACGATAAACCATCAGTAGAACCCAACTTTTATTTTCATCGGGTGACACTCATTATTTGGGTAAGCAAGGAATATAAAGTAGCAACTGTATTTATCGTTATTTTGCTATTCTGTCTGGCTGAAAACCGAGAAGTTAGCTATATACTGGAGTTTAGTTGTTAACTTTGAACTTGATGATAAGATGACTGACAAACATGAGACATGGGACACCATATAATATATCAGCAAGCCATTGAAACAAAATAAATTAACTGGACAGAAAACTTTATTCTCCAACAGCAACATTGAGATGATAACCGATTCAAAATAACAGTTATGTAATCAACTGACTGAAAATTATAAAACCTAATAGAAACAACAAAACGATCAGTAAACCTCACACTTTGGATGATATCGCTCCAATGATGTTTTATTTAACCACGGTATGAGTATGGGGATTGAATGAGTTCGACTTGGTACAGCTAAACAAGATCAAAGTAATAATGAAGTAGCACCATTTCGATTAATACACCACACAATTTAAACTCACTATTACACCTAGACGTGGGTTACCATGAAGATTTGCTAGTGCATCACTAAATACTCAACCGATTCGCCTTATTAATTTTTGTAATGAATGAGTTCCTGTTAACTCCGCCTGTAGCTCTTCTAGAGTTACTGCCGGTCCCAAGCCTGGGTAAAGGAGGAGGGTTGGGCATGGGGTTAGCGACCCCATCCCGTAGAAAATCAACTCGCTAAAAAAACGCTAACCAGAAAAAATCATTCAAACCATTTAAACTCTGCCCTGGGAGTTGGAGGAATATTTATGACGTCTCATGATGAAAGCCGAAATTCTTCGGAAGTCACGAGACCGATGCACCTTCTAACAACCAAAGCAACACTCTTTATAGGTACATGGAGCGTCCGGACAATGTGAGAGACAGGAAAGACCAGCCAAATAGCAATGGAAATGAGGAGATACAACTTGGCAGTACTCGGAATCAGTGAAACCCATTGGACACAAACTGGACAACAAAGGCTAGGTACAGGAGAGATGCTGCTGTACTCCGGTCACGAAGGGCAAAATGCTCCACACACTCAGGGAGTTGCTCTAATTCTGTCCAAAGAAGCACGAAATGCACTTGTGGGATGGGAATCTCATGGACCCAGGATAATCAAAGCATCATTCAGAACAAAGAAGCAAGGGATCACAATGAACGTTACCCAATGTTATGCACCCACCAATGATAGCAACGACGATGATAAAGATAAGTTCTATGAAAGGCTGCAATCAATTATAGGGAAGCGCTCACGAAAGGACCTCACCATCCTGATGGGAGATCTAAATGCTAAAGTTGGAGTGGACAACACAGGATATGAAGATGTAATTAGACGACATGGACTAGGAGAGAGAAATGAAAATGGGGAGAGACTTGCAAACCTATGTGCATTCAACAAATTGGTTATGGGCGGCACAGTATTCCCACACAAACGCATACACACAGCTACATGGATCTCACCGGACCAAACCACAGAGAACCAGATAGATCACATCTGTATCAACAAAAAATTCCGAAGATCAATGGAAGATGCGAGAACCCGGAGAGGAGCTGACATAGCTTCAGATCACCACCTGGTTGTGGTCAAGATGAAACTGAAGCTAAAGAAACTCTGGACAACTGGACAAACAGCAATACAAAGGTTCAATACAGCCTTCCTTCGAGATACTGACAAGCTCCATGAATTCAAGATAACTCTCAACAACAGGTTCCAAGCTCTACAAGATCTACTGAGTGAACAAGAAACTACGATGGAGGACAACTGGAAAGGGATAAAAGAAGCACTAACATCAACGTGTCAAGAGGTTCTTGGTCCTAAGAAGCACCATCACAAGGAATGGATCTCTATGGGGACCCTGGACAAACTTCAAGAAAGGAAGAACAAGAAACTAGCAATTAACAACAGCCGACACGAGCAGAGAATGTCAAAGCACAAGCAGACTACGCAGTAGCAAACAGGGAAGTGAAGAAAAGCATTAAGGTCGACAAGCAGAAATACATGGGAGAACTAACAACGACGGCGGAAAAAGCTGCAAGAGAAGGGAATATTAGACAACTATATGATACAACGAAGAAATTGACAGGAAGATATAGCGAACCGGAAAGACCAGTCAAGGACAAAGAAGGAAAGACAATCAAGGATATTGAAGAACAGAGGAAAAGATGGGCAGAATACTTCGAGGAACTGCTGAATAGACTAGCCCCATTGAATCCACCGGACATCAAACCAACACACACTGACCTTCCTATAGATGTCACTTCACCAACGATCGAAGAAGTCAAGATGGCCATCAGATAAATCAAAAGTGGGAAGGCGGCAGGACCTGAAAATATACCAGCAGAAGCACTGAAGTCAGACATTGAAGTAACTGCAAACATGCTTCACCTTCTATTCAAGAAGATTTGGGAAGAGGAACAAGTGCCAATGGACTGGGAAGAAAGATATCTAATCAAGATACCAAAGAAAGGAGATCTGAGCAAATGTGAAAACTACAGAGGCATCAGTTTGTTATCAGTACCAGGAAAAGTTTTCAACAGAGTGCTGCTGAATGGGATAAAAGACGCGGTAGACGTCAAACTTAGGGACCAACAGGCTGGATTCCGTAAGGATAGGTCGTGAACAGACCAGATTGCGACACTACGAATCATCGTTGAATAATCAGTTGAGTAGAACTCATCACTATACGTCAACTTCATTGACTATGAGAAGGCGTTTGATAGCGTGGACAGAAGAACTTCATGGAAACTTCTTCGACACTAACAAATGCAGATGAAGACAACAAGTGTAGCAGCAGCCTCCACATCGATAGGCCTCCACACTCACAAAGGAAAAAGCAAGATTCTCAAATACAACACGGAAAATACCAACCCAATCACACTTGATGGCGAAACTCTGGAAGAGGTGGAAACATTCAAGTACCTGGGGAGCATCGTTGATAAACAAGGAGGATCGGATGCAGATGTAAAGGCAAGGATTGGCAAAGCAAGGGCAGCATTTCTACAATTGCAGAACATATGGAACTCAAAACAACTCTC